AGCTGACTGGGTCTTCATCAGTCTCCGAAACAACATTCGTTCTCAAACTATACATGAAGCTGGTTCAGGGAGGAGTGAAGCTTCTTAAACAACTCAAGGAGAAAATTGACCTTTTGGGGGGTTTAACAGGGTTTTGAAAGGACTCATTTGAATTACACTCTTAACAGTAGCCTCTGTGCCATGCAGCTGTGGCTTACCTTTGTGAGTTGTGTCAGCATGTTTGCCTTCCATGTCAGCTTGGTCTTTTTATTTCCCCATCTCTTCAGGCACAATAGGTTTATCATAATGCCTAGAAGAGGCAGAAGGAAAGAGAAGATTCTGATCATCTGGAACCCTTCTGATTCTCATCAGTAAAGCTATAAATCAGCCAGCCTGGCAATCTGAAGCAGCTTTTCTGAAGAGGCACTAATAACTTTAATCATTTTAGTGGGATTTTGAGGTATTGCAGCTGACTGAAAGTATCTTTTCTTTTTCACTGTGCAAGCACTAAATTTCATGCAGTAAACTAGAGAAAGATTAATTTGTTTCCACTAATGTCAGAACAAATTCTGAATTTGTTCTGAGTATGAAACTGTGAAATAAGGCAGCTGTCAGCATAATTTAGCCCTGTCATTGCTGTGCCGGCATTGCAGTTTGGCATTTGTGGCACTTTTGCCATTGTATGCTAGTGTGAATTCTGCCAGCCTGCATAAATCCAAGGCACAAGTACTGTCCGTTTAACCAGGAATAGGACACTTATGCTCTTACCTTCAGAATGGCTGTAGTAAAAGGAATCCCAGAGAGCTGCTATCTCTCCTGATGCATCTCATATCTCTACAGCACGAGCGTTGGCTGTGTCCTTGCCCCATTTGTGTGTTCTTCATGTTAAGCTTCTGCCTTGCTGTGTTCCTTCAACAAAATTGTCTCCTTCCTGAACCCCACCTCAAAATTTCATCTGGATATTAAACCCAAGCAGTGCTGAATCCTGTGCTCCAAACTACAGATAGTCAGGTGCAGTGAACAATATACAATGCTGATAGCTAGAGTTTGGTACCCAGGCCCTGATACTGAAAAAGTGAGGGGTAAGAGAAGAACAGAATCAGTCCTTTCAGGAGAGAGGTGTGGTAAAGGGAGACAGAAAAGAAAGAGGTAGTAATATTACTCTGTTTTGGCTCTGGCATCAGTCACAGAGTATAAGACTCACTTGATTCAGGCCTGTCCTTGAGCCTGGTCAATGGGAGAGGAGATCTGAGTCTCAGTATTTGCTCCAGCGAGTGTTATAAATTTATGATAAAAAGCTGAACACCTGTAATAGAACTGACAAATACTACTACAGCAGGGGATCCTATGGACTGGTGATTAGGGCATGGATTCAGGTAGATTCAGAGAAGGAAGTGGTGGCACAGAGTTGTGTGTTTGTCATGAGAGTCTCGAATAGTATATGGAATATACTCAAGTGCTGATGTTGGAGGCAAAGAGAAGGGATGTCTTCCATAGAAGAACCAAGAGAAACAGCATAACTAGAGAGGAAGGAATTAGCAGAACATTTTCCCTGAGGTGTCTTTAGATCTGAAATGCATTCAGAGCCCAAATCTGGTGGTGTGTGTAAGAAAAGTTCCTATAGCACTCAGTTTCCAATTCTCCACAGCACACCAATGGCTGCTGGCTGTGCACTGGAATGTACCACCTTGATAGAACATTTTGATATCAAGTGAGCACTGAGGAGCATTGAAAGAAAATGCATTCCCAGTAGGTATTGTGGAGCAGAGCTTTGAGTTCTGCTCCTAGCTAGCAGAACTAGCTCCTAGTTCTAGCTAGTTCTAGCTAGCACTGATATCTGATCATGACCATCCTATTGAGGCTGAGTAGGGCATTATTCCAGAAAATACATTGGAAACAGTTAAACTTCTCACTAAGTTAAGACACTGTTCAGCTGTCTGAGCTTCATGTGAAAACAGTGGGATCTTCGCAGGATCAAGAGACAAGATTCGATCCATTGATTTTTCCATAGTGTTCTTTCTCCTTCTATATGTTAGCATTTAGCTTTCTTTTTGTAATTGTTTTGTCTTTCTTCTTTTTTTATCTCCAGTCACGTTTTCCAGCTTTCTGTTGTTTTCTTGTGTTTATAACTTTGCCAAGTTCTTGTTGGAGCAGGATTTGGTCAGTTTTGCAGTGCAGTGCTCTATGTGACTAGAAAGGAATCTAATTGATTCCTGCTCCATTTCCTTAATACTTGACCCTTACGTGAACTAAGAAGAAACGTGGCATTTCCTAGCACTGGTTGGCCTATGACATTTCTAAAGAAACGTTAATTTCCCCCATTATTCCATGACATATGGTAGTTCATGATTTCTAAGCTGAGAAATGTGGCTGCATGCTTCAAAGTGAGAATTAGTGTGTTCCTTTCCTTTTGTTGAGATAGAGTCCATGTCCTCAGCTGGTATAAGTTAGTATAAGCTGCATTGTCTTCAGGGAAGGGCAACCCCATGAAGATCTGTCCATTAAAGAAACTTAGTTTATCCCATTGACTAGTCTCATACTGACAAAGGCACCAAACACTTTTTCTCTTGTTTTATTCTTTAATATTCCCATTGTTAGTTTGTAGGTACAAGGGAAGTACTCAGGTGGTTGTTCTCCACCAAATTCATCAGAGTCCTGGCCTCTACTACTACAACATCCAAACGCTTTCCTGAAATGTTCATCAGAGACCACACTAAAACATTAGGATTGGAAAACTGTCTAGTAACAGATGAGAACTGACTATAAAATATAAATATAGTACTGCTATGGTCTTGTTCTCATTCTGATATTAAAAGTGTTTTTATTTGGCATCAAAATAAAATGTTCAGGGCCAAGCAGTTTAGCAAAAATCTGTTGTTGGAGAGGGGAGAGGACAGTCATGGAATGAACTGGGCCAAAACACAGTTCTGATGAGCTCTGCTGTTACGAGCTTGTTGTCTGAATATTTTTTCTAGCCAAAAGTTTATATTTGTATAACCTATGTAGTACACTAGGGAGGCACTTTTGTAATGGAGGCAGCAAAAGTGAAAATGTGCAGACTTTTTAAATTTAGGAGAAAATGCTAAAGACTATTAAAATCTCTTTTTTTTGTGGACGGTAGAAACAGGTGAAACAAGACTCATTTCAGCCACCTGCTGTGAAAGCTGAGGAATTTTATTATACCATGTAGTTACAAAAGCTAATTGAAAATAGATTAATTCTAAAAAGCTATTGCTATTTAGATTAGCAAGCTGGAATCATCACCTGCCTGTTTAGAGTCCAAGCTTAATGCTTTTGCCTGGAGAATATTGAGGGCCAACTGGAACAAGTGTGTCCTTTCATTGTAAGTGTATGCCTATTAACTGATTTGCTCTACCGTAAAAAAAACCTGCTGTTTTATTTCCTCTGGTGTGTAGGTCACACTAAATTGATCTGGCAGGCCAAAACAATATTTTCAATCTTGTTTATATGTATGAAACAGAAAAATGTGTTACGCTGGAATTTTATTGTCTTGCTGCATCCTTTGCCATCAGCCTGCTGCTTCGTTCCTTCTCTGGTGGCTCTTGGGAGGCAGTGTAAATCCTCGAAAGGTGGCACGGTTGATTGGTAAAACCCGGAGGCAGGACTTTCCAACTTCTGTTGCAAACCTCCTGTATGAGCTTAGTTGATTTATGGGAAGATTTCGAGGAAGGCTGCATGGCCCTTGAACACATTCTAGCTGGTAAATTTGTGGCTGAGTCAGTGGTATGTCTGCCGTGTGTTCCACACGCTACCCGCTTGCTAATCTTTCCCTGTTTTAGTTAGCAACCTGTCAGTCCTTCTCTCCTCTGTCAGTCTTCTGTCTTTGCTGCCCACTGAACACTGTAGGATCTTTCCCTTCTTGGGAAGGGCATTCTAGACAATTGTTTTGTTCTTGAGTTTTCTGTAACATCTTCCTTCTGATGGAAGCTAGTTCACATATAACTCAGTGTCTTCACTGAATACAAGATCTTACATTTAAGGATGGTTTTACTGAAATGGTTGAGAACTCCATTCTTCCCTTAGTGCATGCCTGGATTTAACCCTGGTGTCTGACCGAGTTTTTGCAATTTTCCCTCACCTTGTATGAATTTACTCACTTATGCAAATGTAAACGTTAACACTGGTGGTGTTTATTAAACATTAACATGATTAAGAATAATATAGTGAGGGGAAAATGGAGTGACACACCAGAGCACTATCCAGTGGACAGCATTCTGCAGTGGTGGTATTTCACTGAACGGTGTTGTTGGGTTGATGATGTGAACAGTTCACCAGGCCCACTGTCTGCTCTCTGTAGACCCACCTGATTAGAGTGTGCACTTTGACAGCTTAAAAGCACTGGCAGGGATTGCGCACCAAAGGGTTGTGAAAGAGGCACATGAGGCCTTCGGAAGGCCAGGAAGAAGTGGAAGCACACCTTCCCGGTCCTGGAGAGAATCATGGGGGTGGGGATGGGGTGAGGAAGCTGACTTGTGTTATGGAGATACACTAATGCTTATTTACATCACAAACCCTTTTCTTGTTTACCCTGACATATTTCAAAAGAATGTCTCTATTTAAGGAAGAGAAGGACCTCTTTCCACACGGCTTTAATTCTGTTTTATTCATAATATTGCACTGAGAGCTAAGGTGTATTAACCTAGGTAGCAGCAATGGTATATCTGGCTTAATTAGGAAAGAGACTGTTTAGCCATTTGAGGATTGCTGTGCTCAGGCAGTGCTGAAGAGGTAAATCAGAGTGATTTCCACATCTGTGCAGACACATAGGCAGGCCAATGAGATCTTTGTGTAAATCAGCATACACTGAATATCACTAATTTTTTGTAGTCAGTTTGCCTAGCTATTTCTTCAGCTTCCATTTTTTAAGTCTTATTAATTTCAAAACTGCCCATAACTAAGGCCTGAAGTCTTTGTGTAGTTACAGTTTTTGGGTTTGATGGAGTTCTTGTATGGATTAAATTATGATTATTTTTTTTCTTTCTTTTTTTTTTCTTTTTTAGCATCGTAGACAAAGAAGTGTCATTAATGGCAGAAATTGATAAAGTTAAAGAAGAAGCCAGTAAGTAAAAAAATATGCAGGGAACTTTTGGAATAGTTGTGAAAACATTTGGTTTGTTTGGCAGAAAATTACACAGTATATAAATTTGGTTAGCAGCATTCCAGCATTTTTCATTGTATACATATACAATCAAATAAGTCTTTGGTGTTCTGGGGGAGTTTCTGTATAGTTTCTATCTATAAGGATTGTGCACCAAAATTTCAATATTATGAAGTTAAGGTAAACCCCAAGTTCATATAAAGTTAGATTTAAATGATTTATTCCTTCAACTTACTTATTAGAGCTTTTTGACTCCTTCTTTTTTTTTCCCCCTTATTTCTGTGGTTTGTCAATTACTTCATTTCTATTTCTTAATCACTGTTTTCTTGCTTATATTACATATATGAGTTAGAATAGTGGAAATTACTAGGGGAATAGGTTATTGTGTGGCCTTGCATAGCTTTAAGGGATAGCAATCAAGCTTATGAATTAGAACAATAAAAAAATTAAAAAGCAGCTGTTTACTGGAATCTCTTTTCATAATAATCTGTGGGAGTTGATATGATTCCAGACTTTCATGTCGTCTCTGGCTTTTGCATAGGTAAGGTATATAAATTATGGGTTGGGAAAAAAACCAAGATGAGCTGTGTATTAGGATACTACAATATCTGTCTTATACCCGGTCTGAGATCTGGTATTCACGGCACAGGAATCAAGGGGATGTATTTCAATAGAGAGTACTAAGCAAGAAACTGAAGAATAACCGAAGTATTGTTAGAATGATACTTTGTCTGGCAGATGAAAATATCACTGCTATGTAGGCATACAATCCTTTTATTGATTTGTGAATTTAAGGCCCTTCCAAAGAGGGTCACAAAAATATGTATGCTTCATTTGCATTTAGAACTCTCACTCAGTTCACAAATGTATACTAGTAAAATTTTTATTTAAAAAAAATAATCTAAATCCTCTGTTGCTAGCTAAGTCTCTTGCAGTTATATATGTGTGGAAACTAAAAGGTATGAGTTGTTACAGCAAAGATTGGTATTAGTTTGTGTTTTGAACTTTGTATGCTATCTTTGCTAGTACTAACATGAAATAGAAGTGGGTTTGGAATCCTGTGTAATTCTGGGGAGGAGTTGTGGATGGAAACATATCAGCAGCTTTTTGGTTACCTGCAGAGCCAGGTAGCTGTAATCAGCTACAGGACATGCACTCACTCCCAGGAAAACCAATGGTAAAATTCCCATTTGATAAATTGGAATTTGATAAAATTCCCATTTGATATATTACCAATTTGATTGGTAAAGATTGATGGCAGCAGACATGAGTCTAAGCCCTGATTGCATTTAGGAAATCCACCATCCAGGGCTGATGGTATCATAGGGCCCCTTCCTTAATCTTGGCCAGGCATAGTAGTAATTCTTGTGGAAAATAAACCTAATTCTTATTTACAGGCATGCAAAGTGCTGCACTTGCATGTGGCAGGTTCCATTTCTCTGCTTTCATGCCATCTCCACATGTGACACTGGATGGTCCCTGTACCTGTCTTTAACAGTATAGTTTCTGCTGTCTCTTGAGGCTGTTGAAGGCTTCTAAAGTGCCTTCAGAACTTTAGGCAGAAAGTTGTTATAGGACTGTAACATGCTAACAAAGATTTACATTGTAATTTACATTACATTATTATTTATTTTCACATCTTTTTGCTGCACCGGAGGACTGTTTTACAGTGGGTAATCTCATTCTTACTGTCAATACTGGGAAAATTTCCAAGTATGATAATTTCAGGTTGGGTGTTTTTTCTTCAAAATGCGTATTTGGCTGACATCTCGTGGAGATAAGTGCCACTATGAGATGAGATCATATGGTTTGGGCAGTCACTTCAGCAAACGGGATGTTGACCTTGGGGAGAAGCAATATTAGCACTACCTAGAATAAGCAATAAAGCAAAACTGTTGGACAAAGTAAAACAGCTAGCAAACTGTTTGTTTAATCTGATAAAAATTTCTCAGATTTATAGACAAATACTAATTTAAAAGATCAGGTAGAGGGGTAGATACGCACCTGTTCTTAGCATAAGCAATAGTGTAGGCACAGATTTACCAACAGGGCTAATGGAACTGTAGCCACCCACTGCCTTCCCTGCCCTGTGTGACACACTCTCCTCTATCATATGGTTTATGTAGTTGCTCCCACACAGCTGTACAGCCACGGCTCTGTCTCCCTATGTCTGCTGGGCCATGCTGTACGTGGTGAAACACTGGAACAGGCTTCCCCAAGAGGTGGTAGATGCCTCATCCCTGGAAATATCCAAGGTCAGATTGGACAGGTCTCTGAGCAACCTGACCTAGTTGAAGATGTCCCTGTTATTGTAGGCCAGGTTAGACTAGATGACCTTTAAAGGTCTTTTCCAACCCAAACTATTGTATGATACTTTCAAAAGAAGGTGCTATCTGATTAAATAAATGATAATGGGTTGAGAAGCAAATTCTCTGTGAAATATTATTAATTGTCATCTAAAAAATGGCTTTACAAGGTGTGAGCTGATTGTCTTCCCAAGTCTGCTATGGAAAATTGAGGCAAAAGAGGGCGAAGTAGCCAAAGTCTCCACATCTGTAATGGAGTCTGTGGTCTTAGGATAGTTTACAACTACCACTCACCCTGACTGTAGGTGTAAGCTCTAGTCAAAAGATTGTGATGGTTATTATTTCACATTTTGATACTATCTTTCCTCACTGCCTTACATGCTGATCCCACCAGCCAATTAATCAGTTGCTGGGTTTACATTGAGTCACTATGTAGGTAATAGAGTTTGCACATATTTAAAGTTGTAATGTCATATTATCCTGCATATAAATGGACTATTGCTTTGTGGTTAGTTTTTTGCTGTAAGAACATAACTATTCACCCTTTCCTTATATAAAGTATGCAAGACAGGCAGTAGTGAATATTTAGTATTTTTTCATAAAGACTGCTGGCCTTCGTAATACTGCTTTGCTGTAGAAATGGCAAGTGTGTATATCCTGTACTTGAAAGCAAAATTGCAATGCCAGTGATTTTAATGTAAACTATATACAAACAGATTTTTTTTCAGAGGAACTGAAATGCCCGTGTAAATAAAATAAAGCATGTCTTCAGAAACAGCCTGTTGACTTAATGTTATGCTTCTTTCCATGTCTCCGTGGAAGGCTCCCTGATTATGTGCTTAAAGATAAAGCCCTGGAAAACTCAAAGCAACATGTTTTTGCCCCTGTTAATGTTGAAGGACTGGTTTAACTTTGATTTTCTGACAGCTATCCCATTTCAAGATCTTTTTCAATGTTAGGCAGTTCAGTTAAATATGCTGGTTGACTTAATCTGTGCCAGCAGCACATTGGAAGTCAGTTGAAGTCAGGGGTTCGAGATGTGTGTGTTTGTCTCACATGTGATGTACAGTGCTAATGCCCAAAGAGTAATGATTTATAAAGCAATTTACCTTCCTAGCATTAATTATTGGCTATTGGTATTTGGCAGTGGAAATCCTGACTGCTCGGCAGAAGAAAGCTGAGGAGCTGAAGAGGCTGACAGACCTAGCCAGTCAGATGGCTGAAGCACAACTGTCTGAACTCAGGGCTGAAATTAAGGTCAGGCGTTCAGTTCTGTTTGGGTATTTTAGCTGTTTGCATTAATTCCAGGAAAGAGTTGTCACATTAACATGCCAGGCTGTTCATTCCTGCTATGGGCCAAAGGTGACTAGCTTTCCAAGGGGAAAGCATACCTTCTTAAGCATGACAGCACCTCTGAGCAGTGTACAGATGCTCCCAGAGAAGTGTAAGCTATCCCCCTCGTAAGTGGAGCAGTGAGAACTTATGCTGTTTGTGTATCATTTGTGAGACTTAACAAGTAAACCTGATAGCTTCAGGTTCAGTGATCAAACACATATACTCTGATGAAATGACCCACTTCCCAAGCGGGAGAGGGATCCACCCATCTCTGGGCTGTGAGACATGTAATTTGGTAAGGATGGGAAAATATTTGGTTCTGCACAGAGATCCTGTCTACAGGGCAGGGTCAAGAGTTTGCTGAGCCTTAAAGTGAACTTAGGATAAGTATTGACTGGTTTCTGTACCATCCATATAGTCTTTCATTCAGAATGCAAATCACTGTTAACTTGTTTGTATTTTTGCAGCACTTTGTGAGTGAACGGAAATACGATGAAGAGCTGGGCAGGTCTGCCCGATTTTCCTGTGATACGGAACAGCTGAAGACCCAAATTCAGCTCTGTGGAGAAAGTAAGTGCTGGTGATTTCTCACACCAAAGTCCTCAGAACATAGTGTTCCACATACTTGTTCAGGAAATGCCAGCAGAAATAACATGGTGTGTGCTGCCAGTGTGCGTGTGCATGTGCTGCACAGTCCATCTGCGTGTGCACAGCACCCTCTTTGTCAGAGGTTTCCAGGTATTACTCAGATCAGTTGGAGTTTTCCATCTAAACAGGATTTCCAAGTGCCAATAAAAGTCAGCTCTGGGGAACTCAAATTAAGAAATTTGTGAATGACTAGTAAGTCAGAAGCTTCTCCATGTGAGCCTAATGTTATGAGACCAATTCAGATCTCTCCTGCTAGGAAGCAACTCCCCAGCTTTGTAACAGTATTCACTGGGTTTTTCAGGAGCTAATGGTAGTCCCTAATGTTTCTGTTTCCAAATCATCTGCCCTTCTGCTTGGAAATTCGGGTTAATTTTCTGCTCCAAGTATCGTGTGCTTGTTGCACAATACATGACAGCCTATTTCTCGTCTTTGTCATGCTTTTTTTCCCCAAAAAAAAGTAAATGCTATAATGCTTTGCCCCAGATGTTACCCTGTCCCATGATATCCCTTCAGTACCATCACTTAGGAGAAAAACTGTTAACACAACACTGAACTAGCGCCTCTTGGTGGAAGGAAAACAATTTCAGGAACAAAAATGATGTTTTCAAGGAGTTGCTAGAAGTAGTTAAAAAAAAAAAATACCACGCAATCTGCCAATAAGATCCTCTGACTGCACAGCTAAAGAACTGACTCCTTTGAGGCATAACCAGTTTAATTCATTAGACCCTACGAATCCTGTCTCTCATTGAAACCAACACAGGATGTTTCAAAAGAAGGCATAAGCTTCCCAGTAATGCATCTCATTGTCCATGGTCACTTCATAGCATCTGTCTCATACCCTGAAGCTGAAGAAAGTGAAAATTCTGTAAAGATTATCCTGACTAATATAACCACAGCTGCCTTTGATACAATCATAGACATTTTTTTTAAACTCATTGAACTACTTTCCTAAATAACTTCCAGCTGCAGTTAATTCTGCAAGTTAATTATACCTAATTTCAGTAAAGCGTTACTTAAGCATAGTTTGATACTGTTGAAATCAGGTCAGTGAAGTCAAAAGAACAGCTATTAGCAGGGAAGCAGTGCCACCTTACAAATGACTCATAGTGCACTGGCTGTCTGAAGAACTCAGCTCTAATCTGCCCTCGGTGGCCTTAGATGAGCAACTCATGCTGTTGGCATGTCTTTGATAAAAGGTCTTTGGTTCAAAAGATGTTTCTGTTTGGAGCATCTCACAATGAGGTCCATACCCTGCTGGGAGTTGCAAGTACCCCTCAACAGAGGTTATAGCAGGCTTATACCTAAGAACAGCCACTATTGAGGGCTTTAACAAAAGCAATAACCAAAACCACAGAGCTTGTGCAATGAGAAGGTGGTAGGCAGCATGAGAAGGTGGTAGGCAGCATCACAATGAAGGACAGGAAAAAACAAAATTAAATGGAGTGACATGTACCCAGAATACCTGATGGTGGCTTGTACCCCTTCCTTGCACATCTTTTTTGTCAAAAATACATTTTTATGTCACACATCTGGATTTTTATATGGGCTTGCATGTACAGCAGTCTGTTTTAGACAAGAGAGCAGTAGAATTCAGTGACAGCCAGCCTCGCTGAACTTTTAGGACAGAAAATTCAGATCATTGTGCAGATCATTGCATTGTTTTTCTGAAGAGGACACCTAGTGGGAGAAATAGCTGATGTTGGCATAAGTGAAAAGAGCCTCAAAAAAAAAACCTAACAGATGATGCTCAGTTGCTAAAATTATTTTGCATCATCATTCTCATCATTCTCTGTACTAAAAGTAAACAAATAGAAGTACCTGTTAAATAAAACAACAGGTGTCTCACTGAAGTGAGCCTCTGGTCAGTCATCTGTACCAGAAGGAAACAGGAAAATTCCATATTCTGAACAGCAGATTAAGAACAGTAACTTTACTTCAGTAGCCTTAGAATCCTTTTGGAGACTGCTTAGAGGACATTATACAGAAAGAGGCAGCTTGAATACCTTGTGGAAATGCAGAGTGTTAGAAATCAAGGATTTGTGTGGTGCATTTCACATCCAGGCATGGAAGTGGTTAAGAAATCAGGCAGTCTGAGAATACTAAGGAGCAGGAATATGCTGGGATGAGCAATAGTGGTTCCTGATGGTGCCAAGTGCCATGACCTACATGAAGTGGATAAGTGCTTTGCATTCAGTTCCTGGTTTTATAGATATCCATGGTACAGAAGAACCTTTGTTAACCATCTCCTTGGAGCAACAGGCATTAGACTTTTTTTTTTCCCCTTCTGCTTAAAAAAGACATACTAAGGAAGCTTTTATGGCTATTACCTGTGCTGTAGCTAGTACATATATGGACAGCAAACGTCAGCCTTTTTAGCCTTCCATGATCAAAGAATAATTTGGAATCAAATAGTCTGTGGTGTCTGCAGGCACAGCTTCCTTTGACCTCAAGCAGTTCAGAGAGGTGGCGTAACGCTCACTTCTTCTCCTCTTTCTTCCTTTGTTGCCTGAAGACTCCTGTTAGGAGCATTCCTGCTAGGGCAGCAGCGCGTGGGGCAGTCCTGGCAGCACGCGTCCAGCTCAACTGGTTAAAAGTTCACAAGCAAACCAATAGGTGCCAGGAATTTTGGAAAGCTTTCTTGGATAAGCAGAGCGTAGCCTTCTGCCAGGCTCCTTCCAGTTTTAGCACAGTTCCACCACATTGGCTCTTTTGTCTCCAGAAGTGCTTCACAATGAGGCAGTTTCACAGAACTGATCTGTTACATATAGTAAAGCTAGAACAATGCTACTAAATGAACTGTGAACAGAGTAAGAATCCAACCCTATGTTTAGATATGGATCATTTAACTGATAATACAGAACACTTTTTTTCTTCACAGTTTCTCATCCAAAGAACAACTATTCCTCAAGAACACCATGTAGTTCAGTGCTGTCTTCTATGACCTCGCATGTAACAACTGGCAAGCAAAATGCACACACACGGAAGTCCTCCAAGAACTCTGATAACAAAACAGCCAGCACTAAAGTACAAGGTCATCTTTCTTCCAGTCCTACAGAATCTTCTTCCCAAGGAATCCCAACAAACAAGCAGGTAAGAAGCCAGTTATGAACTAAACTAAATTAGTTCAAAAATTTCAGGAAAATATGCAGTATTGAAAGTTGTCAATACAACATCAAATACTGGTATTGCAGTCCACATATTTAATTAATAATTTCTGAAAATATATAAGTATGTACTTTCCAGCTTCATTTTCAAGGCAATGTGAACATACAAGGTAGAAATGGCATACCAGCAAAGACCACTGTCTGATGTTCAGAAGTGAGTGGCAGTTAATAGACTGAAAAACAAAAGCCCTCCATAATAGCTAATTGCTCTACGTGCTACAACTGAGAAACACTTTTTCCTGATCCTTGACAAACGATCAGTTGATGTGCTGTTGAAGCATGATTATTAGATAGACTTTGAAAGTGGAATGCTGCCAGGTTTAAAAGCATATTATTTCAGAAGTTGTATAGTACAGCTTATAGTACAGCTTATATACAGCTTATAGCTAAGTTGATGTGAATTTTGTCCAGTAGGGATTTTAGGCTCAAGTAGGTGCCTGAAGGGAAAGATAGGAGCATTATGTTATGTCTGCATGTGGCATGGAATCAGCTGTCCCAGGCAGTCACGCAAATAAAGCAATTCAGCCATTTCCCACTAAGGATCAAAGCTTCCTCTGAGCAAGATATTGCCATGGACATCTCTCCCACTATGTGGATTCTTAACTTGACTTTCATTCACATGTGAATTTCTGTTCTTCCACAGTCTTGCTGTAGTATTTACACAATACTAAGAAACATATGTTCGTGATTTTGGAAAAAATTGGTCAGCGTCAATTTCTTCAGTGCTTCTTAACTGCTGCTGTTGAGACGTCTAGTATTTCATCCCCTTTTCTGTATTCTCTTGAATCCTGGCAGATGTTAATTTGGTGTCAGCAATGTACCTGCCATCTGTATTTCCAGGCTGCTCAGATGTAGCATGCCACTCTTAGTTCAGTTTTTAAGTGTAACAAAGAGAGAGCAACAATCAAAACTGTAGAGTGTTTTCCCTCTTCTAGTTACACTGAAAATTTTGTTCTGCAATTTTGGTTAGTTCTGACTGCTGTGTTTCTTGTCTTCTTGGAAGGATTCAGATAACCTAACAGTTATCCAATTTCTTTCTGGGTAGAATGGGCCTTCTAACCAGAGACGAAGATTCAACCCACAGCACCAAAACATCCGGCTCAATGGATCTCTTAAGTCCCAAGCTGCCACTAATGAGGCAGATCAAAATAACGTAAAGAGTGGTTCCAGGTCTGAACACAGAAGACAGCAGCATAACAGCTTCAGATCTAAAAATAAAGGAGCTATGAAAAATCAAGACCAACCCACAGCTACAAGGACCACAGAGAATCCAACACACTCAGAAAAGACCCGACGAAAGCACCATACGCCAGACACGGCGCATCCCAGGCCTTTCCAAGGCAGTGTCGGCAGGGTGTCGCAGTGCAACTTGTGTCCCGCAAGGATGGAGGTCTCTGCTGACGCCACTGTTCTTTCAGTGCCAGCTGTGACTCTAGTGGCTTAAAATGTCACCGTGACAGCAGGCAGAGAAAATTTTAATCTCTTCATTTTAGTTTCTTGCTCGAGATGCTTGTTGGTGAAGAAAATAAGTCAGAACATAGTCATTTTAAATCTGTTGCTACTTAAAACTTGACAGTATCTTTATTACTTACTAATTATCAAAATCAATTCATACTTTCAAGGCTTTGCCCAATATGTTCACAGTTATTTTGTCATGGTAGTACAGAATCTTACCAAAGCAGCATTTACTTCTTAGAAAAAAGAAATCTAGATTGGAAAAATAATTTTATAATTAAATTCATAATAGCAAAAATATGTTGTAGATATGTGGTTATACCACATTATTGTTTTCTAGAGCAGCCTGTGTTAGAAGGATCCCAGGAAGTTCGTATGCTGTGATCTGCAATGAAATCAGATAATCTTGTAGAACTTTTCAGCAAATCTCTATACACCTCTTTCTTTCTGTGTGTGTATACACACGTACATGCATGCACACTGTATATGCAGAGAATGTTGTTATATACAAGAACATTTGAAAAAGCAGTACATTTGATTTTAGCTTATTATTCCATAATCTGAGGTCTTTAAATTCAAGTATAAATTGTATTAAATGTATTACATATTGGTATTTTTCATTGACAAACTATTTTTATGAGGCTGAGGAAAAATGCTCATTTCTTAAGTTCTGAATGTATATAGTCATGGCACAACCCTATTCTCCATCCTTATAAGCCACTTTTCTATGACTAGTTGGATTTATTTTTTTGCATATGAAAAATTGCAGGTGTTCTAGACTTGAATCCGATTTATTTTTCTATATTTTTGCTGTAGGAACCATCTGTCCATAACGAGAGCTACGACTAATAAATTTGTTACAGCAACATGCAGCAGAATATGGAGGTACATATTTGAGCAGATACTACATCCTTCAGAATTTTCTATTAAAATAAAAATCTTACTTAGTCTTAATGTTCTGATTCTGTATTTCAGAAAACCTGTTTCTTTCAAAAAATTAAAATCTTTCTAAAATATTCTGGTGTTTGCTGCTTTGCAGTGCCTAACCTTTGTGACCTTACTCAAATTGTGTTTACTTAATTCACCTGGTGTCAGCGAGAGGCTTTCAGCTGAGTTTGGATTGGACCAGGCTTTTGATTTTAGCTCGATTCTAATGCCCCGAGTGCATGGCAGAGACCCTTCCCATGAGAGCCACCTCCATCCTGGACATACTTTTAATATAGTTATTGTTTAACATAGTAAGGTGTCAGAATCCAGACCTGGCATCAGGTGAACTAGTGGCCTAAGTGTCAGAATCAGAAAGGTGGAAAAGGTCAGTAAGAGCAGGAGGCTTGAGTGTCTTTAAAAGTTGATTGCTCGGTTACTGTTTACTATTGCTTTTTGCCAGTTTCCTCTGCCTGATTTCTGTTAGCTGACTGCACGCTTCCTTAGTACCGACTGGTTTACTTTTCCTCTGTGGCTCTTGAAAAATAATCTCAAAGTGTACAGTGAGGTGCATTCCTTATGGGCAATTTCGATTATTTTTATTTCTTTTGATGTCTGTATACCGTTTTCCACCTGTGAATATTGGAAAACCTGATTCTAAAAGGCAAATAACTCATCTTCATCTGGAAGAATGGTGAAAGAAAAATGAAGGTGCATAGGTGAACGCTTGCTTTCTTAGCATTGCAAGCGCTGCTTCCATCCTAGTTGATTACCTGTCATGCTTTTAAGCCTAATGTTTTGAGTAAATGGAACTGAAATTCCAGAATCTGTGTTTGCGCACCCATCAGGTAGCTTTTCAAAATTTGTCTCACAGTTTTTTATCTGCTGTAACCTCACTGTAAGAGATGTAATTATAATTTCCATGCAGATATTACACAGGAATGTAATTATATTTGTGAAATTTATTATGTTTCTTCTTGTAACCCCTCCTAAAGAAAAGAAAATCTAACTTATCTGTAGTGACTTTTACTCCTTATAGCTTCTCCACTCGACAGGAGTAATGAAAGTTATTTTATTCCATAAATCAGCTTCTCACAAGCAGGCTTCTGCAGATAAATAAAATCTGTGCCGTAAGTCACAACAGGAGCACCTTGCACCCTTCAGTACAGCTCACCTTCCGTGTGCTGGAGGCTCAGTGTGTGACAGACCCAGGACTAACAGGTGAGAGACACCATTTCTCTTCAGACCAGGGTGCAAACACATGTTCTTTGAGAGGTGGAGGTGTGGGTTTGCTTGGGCCGTGGGCAGGCTGTGGTCTGAGCGGCGCAGCAGCGTGGTTTGGTGTTGCAGTGCGTGTTTTAGCTGCGTTACGTGGTGGTGCTCTGACGTGCAGCTGTGTCAGAACAGCGTCCCTTCATCTGTCAATTCCTGTGTGTCTGTGTGCTGGGAACTGTAATTGAACGCTCTTGGGCCCATCTTCAATAGAACTCTTTTTTTATTTTCTAACCACGGAGCTACGTGTGACACCCCTTTTAACGTGAGGGATTAGTACAGGGGGGCAGTGAGGGAAGTAAGGGCAGGGCAAGGCTTGACTTTCAGGCCAACTGGCTTTTTTTTAAAAAAGCCCCCTCAATTTACAAAGCAAACACAGCTGTCTGGCATCGCTCAAACACAAACATGGAATTCCCACTGCACTTTGCACACCCTTTCCAAAGTGGAAACACACCTAAAAGGGTGGTATTTTAAAGCAGGTTGGGTTTGTTTATCTTCTCTGTGAAATTAAGCTCAGAGTAAGGACAGAACTCAGCAAAATAAAGGACCAAATATGCAGTGGGAGACTACAAAGAGAAGGCAACTTAACACAGCCAAGCTAATTGGAAAACTTGCATTGTTTAGGCATATTTGGAAAAAAGGTTAAAAAAACCAAAAAACCTTACTTAATGTGTTTCAAAATGTCACCCTGAAATTAATAATTCTGGAAGGGAAACATTGATCTGGTAGTGCTTTCCTGCACCCTGTTGTTGTAGGGGAACACCTGGTCTGAGCTCGTATGAATGGCAGTTCTTATTGTGAGTCTGTTTCCCCATGCAGGGACTGGGCTGCATCAAGGTTTTATAAATGAGCTATGTCCTTCCTGTTCGTGTCCTTGTGAGTACAGCAGAGGCACCATGAGCTCATCCAGAGCTCTCAAGTTCCAGTGCTGCTGCCAGTTACCCGCATGAGAATAGGAGAGAAATTTGCCAGAAATTTGAGACAATACAGCTACTTTATTATGGCAAACTGCTACAACAAACTGTACTAAAATGTTCGTGTATGTGGTACCAGAGACTAGAATGAGTGAAAAGATAGACCTATAGGTAAGGGGCAGCTTTGAAAAGGGCCAAATCCTTGATGCAAACTCTGGGCACAGTACATAGCTGATCGTGTCACCCTATACATTTGCAAAGTCATTTTCAGCCAGGAGTGATCAATTCGTGTATAAACAGCGAGAGTTTTTGGCAAGAGGAGAATTCTTTAAGAAGAGATACCCAAAAAGCTCAGAAAGCAGCAAAGGTGTGTAACATCAGCCTTAACTGTTTCTACTGCTTAAGATTTTTTAATTAAAACCTGCTGCCCAAAACAAATCTAGATCTTTGTGGGGCTTCTTTGCTACAGAGTATTTACAGAGTTTTACTTCTTAACCACACGTTGATTGTGTAGCTGCAGCTAAGAGACAGACGGCTTCAGTCCTGAGTTTTTGATGGCACAACTGGCCTCCTGTTTTTATCAGGTGAGAATTTGTACTTTGTGGATAGGAAAGAACTAAGAAGATGAGATCTGCTTGCTCCTGGGTAATGATAGTATTTCTTTTTAGCCATAGTAACATTTGAACTACATAACGTTTATTATCTAAGCAATTTAATGTATACCGGTTTAAAAGAGTACTTTTCTACTCTGGAAGAGCCAGTAGGGAATAAGCAGAACAGTGTGAAAGAAAAAAAAGGTATAGTTTTGGTATTTCTATGGTGGTTCAGCTAAAAACATGCCTGATGACAACTCCCTGAGGATCAGCGGTAACATGTGCGTGTCACATGAAATAATGTCTGCTGGCTTACATCAACTGCACGTGAGTTCTCCATGCTCTGAAGCACACAGATCACACAATTACATCTGTTTGAAACACATCGTGATGACAATAGACTCTCTGCATCCCAGGCCCATGTGTGGTCACAGAGGAGTAATTTTTGAGAAGTTTAACTTGGAATCATATTTTTTTTTCTGTCCTTAACCCATACAATGCTGTATCATTGATGCTTTGGAAAGACAGTAGTGTGAAAGTGAGCACTAAACAACTAGAAAATTGACAGCATTTGGGAGAAAAAAATAATGCATCAAACTACACTGGTGATACGTATGTCAGCCTGTAGAGCGCAGCTGTTAGATACTGGTAATCGTTAGATTACTAAACTGGAGTGACTTTCTGAAGGTGGTCTTTTCTGAACGTGATCTCTTCTACAGGGAATGATAATTTCACAAAGATTCCAAGTGAACCATTGTCACACCACTTGACAATGTGGCTAATCCCGCCTATAAAAGTGTAACTCACCTTTAGTGGTTTTCCCACTCAAACTATCTACTACGCACATACAGCATGTCACAGCTTATTAGTGCAAATGCAGTACCAGCTAGTATTTGGGTAGTTGAATTAGAGAAGTAAAATGTTAAGAAAATTGCAGACTTTCAAGAAACTTGGGAAGATACAGTTTTGAGGAGGTTTGACTGTGCAGAAAATTCAGACTTGCAGAATTTGTGTTTCTTGTTCCAGGCCTCAAAAAGCAAAGTCATTATCGAGGTTAAGGGATGACTCGTCCTTGGACTGGCAAGTTACACTTGTTATCAGCCACTGGCTTCCCAGAGAGAAGATGAAATTCCACTTTACTTCCACATTTTAAAAGGCTTTGGGTAGATAAGTAAGTGGAAGATAAGTATTAAAAACTGCTTTTCAGTCAGATTATTATGGAAGACAAATTTCACAAACTTAGTGTAAATGATTAATTGCATGTCCAAAGAGTAGGAGATTACATTATGTTAGTATCTTCCTCTAATTTTTGACTTGTCCTTTCTTCAGTGAAACTTTTTTTCTTAGGATAGGAAGAGCCTTGAGATTGTTGCTTTTTTAGGTTTATTTTTTAAGAAAAAACATTAGTTTAAAGATTCTAAAGGTAAGCTGGTCTTCAATATACACACCAATAGCAGAAAATTACAGTATTGCACACCTTTACAGTGACTGCTGTAAATGGCAAAGGGTCTCCTCTAAAAATATGTTAGTACATGAAAATTTGGGGTTTTCACTTGTGCAAACGTTTCAAGTCCTAGTGGTTAGGAGAAAAGCCTGAAAATGTGATTGCTTCTAAATGATCTAGAAAATAAAACATTTAAAGAACCCTTCTATAATTCTAATAGTCTCAGGAATTTTAAGAACATTGCATTTGGCAACGTGATAGGACTTCTCAGCGTTTAGGAACAGCAGTATTTACTGTGCTGGAAAAGCAAAAGCAGTAGCAAAACCAACAAAAAACCCCAGCACCCAGCTGTAAGCAGGCAAGGGCACAAAAACAAAGCCAGGTTTTGTTCACTGATTCAAACAACTAAAAGGCCTTTTTAAAATCAGTGAGCCAAACTTGGCTTTCCTCTGCTGATAAAAACATACAGCAGCTCTTCAACACAGTATCATTACTCGAAATTTACCCTCGTACAAGAAGGTCTCCTCTGTCCTGCTCTGGGGGAAGGAGGGGTTCTTTTACCTTTCTTCAAATCAGTTCACCTTTGTTAACTGCTTTGTTGTCCCCTCCAGGTCACACCACGTTAGGAAAATAGTACCCATATGCCTCGGGTCAATGGAAAATTTGTTTTCTCCCCAGGCACCCCTTTCCCTTCCTGTATTGCTGAGTTTTCTCACTGCGTACAAGCAACGGTGGTTCCCTTAATTGCTCTTAATAAGAAAATATCTTCACCATAAGTACCAGTAAGTGCATTCAACTTAGGGAATCTGCACAGTACTCTGTATGTTGCACACTTGTGGCAAACTTTTATCTAATAAAAGCTACTTATTGTTACCTATTTTCCCTCACTTTAAATATGCAGATAGAGGAAATCACAGTTAACATTAACTAGAGTTAGTTAAAGTTGGTAAAGAGTCTTCTTTGCTGTGCACATGCTCCCTTTAAAAAGGTCAGTTCTACTGGTGTAGCCTGACAGAAATACAAAGGTGAGATGCTGTAGTGTTAGACTGCACGTGCCCTGTGTTCGAGGGTTTCTTCAATCAATTTTTCTTTCTCCCTTCCCAACATCTAAAATATACCTAGAAATAAAGCAGAAAACACACTGCAGTGCTCACTTAAAACAATTTATCCCTATGCTTTTCACGAACTTTTTCATCATCGTTGAATGAATTGAATTTGAATAAATGACCACATGAGATGATGATCTCTTCTTTGACCAAATGATGCAAAGCTATCCAGTCTGTCAGGCTGAGTCAGGCGTTATCCATCCACTTGATCATTCTTAAGCTTAATACTCTCTGCTAATACAGCTGGTTCTTTCTTGTTTAGTACCATAGAAGTAGCAGGAGTTTCAACAGCAGCTCTGTCCTCTTCCTTTGTTTTACTGGACGCAGAAGAAGGTGGCCAAGATGGTGCCATGAGAGGAGTTCGCTTCAGCTTTACTACCCGGTTGCCTACGGGCTTCCTAGAGGCTGCGCTCTTGAAAGTGGCTTGAGATGGTGTCCCGTTGTCAGCCCCCTGCCTTCCACAGGGCACCTGGGAGTCACGTGTGTGTGTTGCAGATGGAGTTTTAGAAGGTACTTTGTGCAGCGTCAGACTTTGGCTGTTGGGTCGCTTAAGAGTCACTGCAGAAGGAGCAGCATTGCAAGCAGCTACCTTTAATGCAGCTGAATTCTTGACTTTGATATGGGTGCTTGTTGAGGGACCTGAGAATCTAATTGGCTTGGGACCCACTTTACATGGTAAATAGTCCTCCTCTTCAGTAAAGTTGATTAATCGTCTGTAAAACAAAGAACTTTAAAGAAACAAACTATATACATAAATTATTCTTTTTATAACATTATTACAAAACAGACAATCTGGAACAGCCACCCACAAATCCGAAGTTCTTTTCAGTGTTACAATATCATTTATGATTCTTAACTGTTCATCATTATGATCAGGTTTGCTTTTATATGAATAGTACCAGCACTCTTCTACCTGTGTGTCCTGGTTTGAGGTAAAACAGAACCAACTTTCTGTTCAGTAATTTTACTTCATTGCTAGGCCTCTTCTAACTCTCTAAAATTAACAGCATGTTGTGGAGAAAACTGTTCATTCTCAGAGCGATAAGACCAATGTTTGTACTTCATGCCAAGGAACGGTATGCAGAGAGGCTCTTGCTTATACTTATTGTTATAACAACCAAGGTCAGCCAATTTCATCATTTGCCCAGTTGGAGGGTCAGAAATAGAAAAGCATAGAGGGGTCCCACCTGTGGGAAGGAGGGTACAGGGCAGGTGACCCAAACCTGACCAAGAGGGTATTCCACCCCACCTGCCCCATGCTCAGTATAAAAGTTGAGGGATGAAAGGGTCAGGCTTTCTCTTTCTTCAATGGCTGATGTCAGAAGAAGACCCTGTCTGTTCATCTGCCTTTGATCCAGATGTGTGTTCCTGACTCCAGAGCTGGAATCCAGTTCCCATCCATCACTGAGTCCAGTCTGGAACTTCCCCAGAGCCTGCTGGTGATGACATCCTGGGAGCTTGATACGGTTTTGTATATATTGTATCTATTTTATTATTTCCCTTTCAATATTATTATTTAATTAGTTTATTCATTCTAAACTCATAAATCTCTTTATCTGTCCCCCTTTTTCTTCTGGAGCGGGACAGTGGGGGGAGAGCATCTGTTGCCTCCATAGGCCAATTTGGCCTAAACCACAGCACTGTAAGTAATATTACACATTAAAAATGGTAAAAAAAGATATGGTGCACAAACTAAGTGAAAATCAGTGAGAAAGAAGGCTGGTGGAGTTGTAGAAGTAAAGTATTAAAATGCTACGGATTAGGTACAAAATCCACTAAATACTAGCCTGATGTGTTTTAAGTTACCTACAAAAATGTAAGACCCAGCTACACAGGAACACAAAACATAAGAGTTCCACACTATGTAATTTGATAAAAAAAGGAGAGAGAGATTGATTCTTTCTCCCTCCTCCATTTCTTTTCTATAATAAATTATTATAGATCAACAATTATTCAAGATAAAATGTTATTTTAAAAAAAGCTATGTAAGAAAGCCTATGGTGTCTCACGGCAGTTATAATTGGTGCAAAACCAGCATCTTTAAAGTATTACACAAATGTTGTTTCTCAGTTTTGGCAAAGAAAAACAGATGGATGCCTAGAAGATCTTCATTCTTCAAGGAAATAATAAATGATGCCATAGAAATCCAGGAGCTGGATTTAGAAATCCTGAAACCTTACAAAACAAATGCTAGGCCAGGTCAGAGGGATGATCAGTAAATATAAATCAAAATCATTTTTGGAGAGATGAAGAGGGGCAGGGAAAAGGAACGTTGAGACCAAATTAAACTCAGATAATATTAATAATGCATCAATGTATCAAACCAAAAGCTTTCAAACTGTGGGTCTCTTGCTGGCTCCTATAAAGCTACTAAAACCTGGTAGTAGAAGAAAGAGTATGTATGAATCGGATTACATCTAGATTTTGAGCTGACAAAGAAAAGCTGTAGCTTTAACTACCCTGGTTGTCAGGAATGAAGAAACGTTTAGCTGGTGGGCCAGTACTGTAAGCAGGCTATCAACTGTGAGAGCCACTAAAGAACCACTTAAAAGACACACTACAAAAGCATTGCTATTCTTCAGAGTGCTTGCACTTTGGATTTTAAAAGATCTGTGAAATGCCACAGGGATTCATGCAAAAAAAAAATTAATAAATGCACAATATCTGAGAGTAGTATGTCCTGTTATTGCTGTTATAAAACTGGTATATGGTGATGCTGTTCAAACAGAAAGCCTGCAAATAACCTAGTATGGGGCTTTCCTCAGAGCTGTAAGTTTCATCCTAGATCAAAAGAACCACCAAAACAAAAGGGAAAGCTTAAACATTCAAAGATTTGGTGCTTTTAACAGTAGCAAGGGGGTAGAGGTAAAATATCTTCAGTAACTAGGTTCATTTACAATATTTCAAGACAGAATATGGTCTCACCAGGATCACTGCAGTACATTAGGAGTTTTAGCTGAAATCTGAACATAGTTTTTTGAAGGCACAGAAGAATAGAGAAGACAAATCAAAGCAGAGAAATAGGAGATAAAACAGGCAATGGTAGTAAAGGAGCATTCAGGAATATTTGTAGGCTGTTTAGCAATCCAGGGATGAAACGACTACAGTCCTTCTGGTTTGAGCTATGAAAAGCAAAGAATGTGGTATCAAAAAAAAATGGGAGGCTGGTGAGATAGGAGTTTTCAGCTGGATTGTTGTGCTTATGTGATGCTATGGCTGCTGCTGAAATGACAGTGTGGCCAGGAACAAGGAAGTTCAGCAGGATCCTTTTCTCCTGTCTAGCAGCAATAGAGGCTGTAGGGTGGCCCAGATAACTGTGTAGCTGCACCTGCAACGGCTGCTTTTGGGTAATGGATTGTAGACAGAGGTATCACTGTAAAACTGCAAAGAAGAAATTCTAGAAATTCCTTCTAAAAAAGAAAGGCATCTCACATATGTGAAAATCAGTTAGCCTTTTAAAGTTTTCAGTTAAAATTCTATTTTAACAGTCCACTTAAATAATACTGCTCTCTACTTTTTGAAATTACTCCTTCGCGCGCTAAAGTGATGTTTTAAAGACTGAAGAAGTAAATAGAAGAGTTTCAGCAACCTAAAAAAGATAATTTGTTTCTAGCAAGTTATTTTCTGCAAATAAGCTCTCTGATTATAATACACCTTTTAAAAATGCAAATAGAATAAACAGCAAAACCTCAACATTTGTAGCTGTTCAAAGAACCTGAAGTTATAAAATTGTGCTGTATTTAAGCTTTATTTGAAGCCACCTATGCAAATCAGCATACCTTTTATGAACTGGAAGCATATGATGGAAACTCCCTTTCAAAGGGCGTTCTTCAAGAGTCCAACATTCAATCAGCTCCCGAGGCACTCTCCAGTAGCTGACACCTGCATCTCAAATGGAGATTGTATTGATGAGCTGAGAGAACGTAAATCAATGTTATGTGTGTATACACCTGGCTAAATGAATGTGTGTATTTTATTATGTAGAACTTCAGCTTTGAAACTATGCTGACGTGAACATTGCTTACAGCCAACGTGCTTCTAGGGGTCCCCCCAGAGCGCCCAATGCCAACAGGGCATCACCCCTTGCCTGTGGTGGCTCTCACTACAGCTATTCATTCATGTCAACTCATGTCATCTTCTTGGAATACCCCTTAAGACTTTTTTTTTTTTCTTTTCCAAATAGCAACTACCATGGCATATTTTACAATATGTTACTTACTGAATGAGTGAACATGTATGCAGAGTTTTTATTATAGTTAATTGGCAAGTATTTTTCTGTAAAGAAGTAGTACTACTGATATAAAAGAAAAAAAATTTAATACGCTACCTCTCCCTTCCCAGGCATCGAAAGCATCCATCATCTTTTTCAACTCAGCTACAGAGTAATAGCTCCAGATGTATTGGACGTTATTTCCCACTTCTCTAGAAGTATTGTTTCAAAGGTAACAGTTATGCAGTAAATCTAGTGAAGTCTTTAAAAATGTAACACTGATGAAATGTATCATTCTCTTTACCAAATCCTAACTATAAGGACTTAATAGTAAATGCTCTGTAAAGTAGAAAGGAAAATGTTACTTAAATTTCATTATCGTTTGTATAAGAGGTTCTGAATAGCCATTCTCCTATGATCTGTGTGTCTGTGAACACCCATTGCTAAAAATGAGTGTTCATGAAAGAACAAATGTTCATAAAAGAACAATTACACAACTAATGGTGTAAAACATATTCTTCTAAATCTCAATCATTTATTCAAAGGAACAACACAGTAGGAGAACAGATACCTGATACTATGTGTCCAAATACTCTTGGAATAAATATTAATGTTCCCAGCCTAAATTTAGGAAAATAAGCATGTTAATTATAAAGATGATGAAACATCGAAAGCTCTATCTTAATCATGTTTCAAAAGGTACACAGGGAAGTACGCTTCTGACTCTGTATTGTGGGACCAAGAGAAAGACAAATTGCTTCCAGACACTCAAAAGTACAGGCCTACCAGTAACATACAATTACTGTTGTAAAAATACATTAATAGTGTAGTAGAGATGTCCATGACCTCTAAAGAATTAAAACCGTTTCCTTTAATCTTCAGTTCTTTTCAGTGTTAAATAATTCTTTCAGCTGTCTTAGAAGACTGCAAAATACAACTGCATGAATCACAACCATCTCTGTGAGTACTTTTTCTGGATGGGGATTCATTTGCTGTATTTAGTGTAAAAAATGTCCTAAATCGGATCGTAATTTTAAATGGTTGAGACATTTTAAAAATAGCAAGTAAAACATAATTAGAGCTTACAGCAACTGCGTGCTTGTCACCTTTTATGGAGTATTGAATGCTTGTACTCCTTGCTAGTTTTTATCCTTATGTTTGTTTGTTTGTCTAATGTGACCATTTAAAAAGCCAGCTGTTTTTGAAGCTGGAAAGAATCTGAATCTTTCTACAGATTTATAGTACAATAATGTTATGTTATGCTACATATAATATTATTTAGGTATCATTATAATATGTGTGCTCATTCTCACTTTGTAGTGCCTTCATGTATTTGACAGTAATCTTACCTTTTGTAAATGCTTTTACTATGAATTTTCGTTCCTAGCTCCTTATTAATTGCATCAGTCCCATCAGCTCTTGTGGCATACACACCAATAATTTTACTTTCACAGCTTGCTCCAGAAGTGTGGAGATAGTGCAGGACCCAAACTGTAGGCTTGGTACAAACTAAATTATAAGAATTGCAGAAATCTAACAAAGCCTGGGAAAAAAACCATAAAATTTAAAAATACTAGAATATTAATAAAAATACAACATTTTTAGTTGAATAAGCTTTCATATTTAAGTTTTCTTAACTGTACTGGTGGGCTCTTTTAAGTAAATCAAGGAAGTAGTTTATCTAGAATAATGTGTGTAGTATTTCTTATCTGATGTTACCAGAGGATGCTGTAAAACTAGGAGAAAAATCACAGAAAGGCAACAGAAATTCTTAAAGGCATGGCAAATCCCTAATATGAAGAGAAATTGGAAGGTCTGGACATATTTTATGCTTTTCAGAAGAAATTAATAAGGGAGAATGTGAAACATATGGAGCAATAGCATACTAAGAGAACATAGGTGACTGTCAGGACTAACACAGCCATACCTGGTAATGTGAATTAATTTCCAATCAGTTAATTAGAATTAGCTTTCAAGTTACAATACTCTAAAACAGACAAACCTTAGGGGCTTAAATACTATATTAATTTTAGTTTCTCCTTTCTTGTTCTAAAAAAATGTCAAAGTACATTTTATTTTTCAAGTTTTAGGATGAATTTGTAAAACTGAAAAAACCCCACCCAAACACCTTTAACGGATCAAATCTAATCTCAAATAAAATATGAAGCCAAATAGGGAACTAAACAATGTCATTCCTACAATGCAAGTTTTACAGCAGACTTGCATGTAAAACAGAGTCAAATTTAAACTGTTGCTGAATTCCAATGATGGGAACTATGCCTGCATTGTTAACTCTAGGATCTCTCTAACCAAAAACTCTGAATTTACTGGTGATTTAATATGGTGATTAAAAAGTGCTAATTTGCATGTGCTGTAGTTTCAGTATCTGATGCTAATGAGTGATGTGGATTACAGAGTATATCTTTAAAAATGTAAGAAATGTCAAGACCTTTTTAAGCTCTATATTTGACCTTAAAGAATAAGTCTCCATTTCATTGGCCAAATGGTCAGACAGACTGTATGGGTAAGGGATGCCAAAATAATCTGCTTCCTCCTGCAATGCAATTCGAATTTGTTCATCTTCAGGAATCCGAACTTCTCCATGAAGATAGTCCAAAAGATATTTAAACAGGCTTCCATCTCGATCAATTAGACATGCTCCTGAAAACATAAATAAAATGATTTAAAATACTGCTTCCAGCAAGCAAAGACAGACTTGCCACGTTCTACCAAATCATCAAGTAAGGTCTTTATATAAAACTTCTGTACTAGTTTTACTTGCTTAGGGGGAGTAACTATACTTTCTCTATTATTTTATAGCTACTACTCCCTGGAATATTTCTTATTTGAAAATAGAATTCTTAATACAGTAAGCATTTCTTTGGGATTTCAGTGAAATCACTGATCTGCATAGGACCATGCCAACATACAACCTCAGCTTTACAGCACTCCATTTAAAATGCTGAAATTTAAATCTAGACACATTTCTAATTCTCAGTACAGATATATCTTTTCTCGCTGTTGGAGACGTATTTTCAATTTTGGATCTAGGCAATTTAAAAGAGTTAAAAGTAGCATCACCTCCAGTACACATCTAGTCTAACCATCCCTGAATATTGCTCAAGTTTTACAGTATTTTTTTCTTTCTTTTTCTCTCCTGTGCCTGCTGGGCGCAAGGACCAGGTACAGAAATTGACCAAACTATACACAGCTGTACAGAATACAACTGCGACTGAAAGATGGTAGCAAAGACCTGCCTGTAGAAGTAGTAAACATTTACAGATATTTTAAACAGTCGAAAGTGTACAACAAGGGATTACTATTCTCCATCCATCATATCTTTAAACTGGACATACTTTGGCAGGACTTCCAAGTCACAAACAAGTGTGAAATTTGACCCATGAATAGTTTTATTCAAGCTTTCATATCAGGCCATGAGGGTGGAAAATGCAGTCTTTACTGGGTAATGAAGTATTCTGAAACAAAGATTAACCCCAAATCTCTTTAGGTAATGAACAGAAAGAGTGAGATGCCTCTGGAGAATATGGGAGGTCATAAGTAGGATCCAAGTTAAATGCCAAATACTCTGCCAACTTCAATTTTATCTATTTTCATATTCATACTGAAGAAATACATTCCAAAGCCTCAGTGTGGAGTGGTACAAGGCAGGGGTAAGCACTGTACAAACACGTATGTTTGCATATATGAATTAAGATTAATTACTCGTAAGTACAAAGTCATGCATGCATAACGTTGATGTCCTTGAATAAAGAAGTCAACTGATACTTAGCAGATTGGGAAAACAGATACACTATGAAATGGATAAATATATATAAAAGCATCTTTTTGTAATAGAACTCCCTAATCAGAATGTCATATTTACAGCTTGAACATATTTACCTGATTCATCAACTTTCAGAGGAAAGCGTCCGCTAAACATAGAAGCTAGCATTGAATCCTTAAAGCGGCATAAAGACTCACGCCTGGCTGTGTATAAACAGCCTCCTACGTTAAGTTGTAGAATATCCTGGACATCTTCAGTCTTGCCCTCTTCCATTGCATTTGCAAATGATGATGTTAATTACAAGCTATTCAAACCTGTAAGAGATGCAAACAGCAGTAAATCTAATGCCAGTTAAGAGTGAACATACTGTATACAAAACCTAAGCATTAGCTCAGCTCTTACATGTTTGTTACGTGCTACTGTGAAGCGGCTTTGAAACAGGTCTAGAGACACATTAGGGCAAATAGCCAAATATTCTACACCTTTACTATAAAAAACTATGGCATTTTACTTTGATAGGAAACACAGAAGCTACATTTTTGAGACAAATGGGTAAGCAGAATTATGCGGTAAGTACGTGTGAGCACAGCACTGGAAGGACATTTTGGGAAATCTTGGCTTTGAATATAGTTAAATTAATGCACTAAAAATGCAGTAACTTTGTACTAACAATAACTTGGCTTCTTTAAACATGATCGTTAATTAGGGCTGTTTTAACTAGTTTTTGAAGTTGTCACGTCACTAAGGCCACATTGCAAATAAATAGTTTTACTTGGGCCTGCCTTGAGCTCCCTGCAGGAAGGGGGCCCTGTCTGGGCAGGAAAAAAATTGGCACAAGAAAATCTTCAATACGTTTGGGATTTTTGGTGGATTTTTTTTTTTTCAGAGCATGCCCTGTGAGGGGTACAAGCTCCCACAACGCGCCTTTTGCCCGGGCACCTGCTATCGTTTCACCAGAATTAACGGGTACGCTCGCAGCCCGCGGGGGAGACAGCCCCCCCCACAGCAGGCCGGGGCGCTCCCTCCCTTTCGCGGGGCGTCGCTCCGCCAAAAGGGGGGGAAGCGCCCCCTCCGCCCCTCCGGGATCCAGCCGGGGAAGGCGGCTCAGCTCCCCGCCCGGGGCCGCCCGCAGAGGCCGCCGCCATCCCGCGTTACCTGCGCCGCCGCCTCCCGCGCCAGGGCCGCGCTCGCCGGGCCTGGAGCAGGCCGGCCCGCCTGAGGGTCTGCCTCAGCTCCACAAAATGGCGGCCGGACAGCAGGAAAGGCCGGGCCGGGGCCGAGCGGAGAGAGGAGAGAGGCAGCCCCTGTGGCGCGGGGTGCCCGCGGCGCCGTCTCCCTCCCCAGGGGCACCGCCGGGCATCCCTACCCGCGGACGTGGCGGGTCAGCCGGGTGTAGGGAGCCCCGTGGCTCTGCTGCCTTCCCCGCTTTGTCCGGAGGGGGTCCCTCAGGCACGGCTTTGCTGTCCGCGTCCTCTGAAGTGAGGCTGACTCGTATAAACTCGGCTACTCTGTAAGGCGGAAATCTTTCCTGTTTTTTTTTAATGCAGGCTCAGGAGTACTGCAGCCTGAGCTGTTCTTCTAATACTGTAGCGCTCCCGTTTTACTTCACGGTGGTCTCGGAGCCCTTCTGGTCAGCCTGGGCCAGGGCCACGGCTTCGGCCCAAGGTGGGAGCCCGAGGAACAGGCTCTGGTTTCTCTTGTGATTTTGTGTCCTGAGGTGCAGCACTTGAGGAGGGTGATTTCACCAGGGGGATGTGATGCTGGTTTGTGTTCTGAGTCTGAAGGTGGACAGGTCCGTTTTGGTTGAAACAGGGAGCAAAGGCATTAAAAGCTAGCCTCGGATCAACCAGTGTTTGTCCCTTTGAGCAGACCAACTTGCTAGCTTGTGTGCCAGAAGCAGTCTAGTTTTAGATAATATATATGAATGCAGTCATCACAGCTTTTAATTTGCTTTCCTGATGCTTGCATGTGAAATATGGAGTTCTGTGTGAACTACTAACGCAGGCCTTTCTAACTGAAATATTCTATTCTAAAATAGCATGGATGAATGCAGGTGAGGTGTTCCGCCCTCATACAGCCATTTCACAAAGTGTCCTGGTTTGAAGTAACACAAGGGCTTGCAGAAACAGTGTCCTATTAAAAAGAGATTGCCCATGTCTGACATACAGTCACCTGCTCAGCAAAATGCATGCATAAAACAATGGAAAGGGGAAAAAACTAGGTTCACGTTATGCTTTTACCTCGTTATGAAAATTTTCTGTACACAGGAAAAATGGTTCAGAGATACAGCCATATTTTCTGAAACATAAAAGTTTATTTGTCTAGTTACCACTTAAATTTGTAAGTAAATAAAAAATAATTTCTTTTTTGCCATAACATACAGTAAGAACCTCTCCCTACGGATACAACTACCAAATAACTAGTAGTTGTGTGCAAAAGTTAATAGGGCCAAGCTCTAAGTTTCTGCAAACTTTCTGGTAGGTATGGGCTGATTATGTTTAGAAAATATAGTAAGGGATAACTAAATCCCAAATGCTAACAATATATTTTAACTGTTAAATAACTGTTTTTACTGGACTTTAGTTAAGTCTACACTGCACATATAAGGAATGTGCCCATATTGTATTTAAATAATTTACCTTAGCAAATTAACTCAGTTATATCTGTTACAAAAGACAGACTTCTGGTTTGTTTATAACCATAGGCTAACTAAAATGTTGTTTGCTTCCTACTAACCTTCTTACTATGTGAGAAAATAGTTAATTACTGAGCTCTTACTGTGTGAGAAAATGGTTAGTCACTCAGCTGGTAGTGATAATGAGGAGACAGCTAGAAGTAGTTAATCACTTCAAGGTTCTCTCATATGTCTCTCATAGTTAATTGGTACTCCTATACCAATTAAGAGAGAGCTGTGGCTACTTCAAGGAACATCCTTATCATCCTCAAGAAGCTGGCAAAGTTATGGTAAACTTTTAATGTCCTGAGATGACTCAATACCTTAAGACGATAATGTGGGGAAGGGAATCCCTACCCAAACGACCACAAAGAAACTCACACCTGCCTACAAATGTTTTGCAGGTGCTGCAAAATTCAATACACATGTGCAAAAGGGCTATTCAGTCACCTTAATGAATATGTAAGCCTAGGTGGAGTTACTTATTAGGTAGGTGGAATAATTAGAATCTTTGTGTATAAATAATAGATGTGTGGCCCTGGTAAGGTGTGCTAGATTTGTGGATTTCCACCTAGCTGACGTCAAATAAAACAATATCTCCTCTCTAAACTGCTTCTGGTTTTGAGAGCTTTTGTTTCAGGTAACACCCATATTGCGTTTAAAGAGTTTATTTACCTTAGCAAATTAACTCAGTTCTATCTTCAATTCTTAATAATTTTCATCTCTTGTCAATCCTGGCTTTTTACTCAGTATTTCCCTTTGGAGGTGTTTTGTTACCATATTAAGGTATTTAAAACTTAAACCACAATTGCTAAAGGGTCAAATCAAAGGACATGTAATAAATAATCACAGAGCAGCCACAGTTCCAACTGCGTAGTTCTCTGTATTGTGATCTGTTACTACATTTTGATTTTGAGAATGCCTAAATATTCTTAGGCTACTGTATTTTCAGTTACTATTTAGGACCATAGACTTGTGATTCAGAGTTCCCTTCAGTCAAATGAAGGACACTGAGGTAAAGAGCCAGTTAAATCATGTTGCACCTGGTCCTAGAAGGGAGGTAAGAAATTCTGTTTGAAACTGTGTAACTCTGAGTGATCGCTCACTACTTAGAACTTGCTTCTTTTTATCTCAATTCAGCTTTGTATTACAATGGCAGTTAAAGCCACCCTAAATACTTCGCATGTTTCATTTTCCTTAACAATTAAGGATGCTACAGTTGCAGCAGAGGGGAAATGGTGTAGGGAGCACCGTGGCTCTCATGTGCTGGCTGGACTGTCCTTGGCTAAGAGTGTACCCGGAAGCCAGGTCTTTGATGCTTAACATGTAATTAATTAAACAAGCCCACAAGTTACATGCCACTGAATGCAATGCAGACTGATAGTTCATGACTGTTGGAATTCCTATAAAATAAGGGAAAATAAGTATAATAGATTATTTTTGTGGAATAACAGCATGTGGTTTAACTTTAGTAAGGATATACTGCATGTTGTCCTTTACTCACTGGTTCATACATAGCAATTGCAACTTAAATGTCAGCACTGTTGTCAAATGTTACAATGTACTTTAAGTTATAAACTTCCAGTTCTTCTCATTCTAAAGCATTGATTTAATGAAGCTGCAGCTTTCCATGCTTATTTTCTCCTTTTAGATTGCTTGGTTTTGTCTTAAAAGTCTGAACAATGTTCCTTTGTGTATTTCTGCATTGGGGTACAATATACATGGTTTGAGTCAATATATGTATACACACGCAAACAGTGCAGTATGTAAGTATCTGCAATATGGAGATTTAACCATGTGAAGCATCATTACAATTCAAGATCAGTGCAGCATGTAGTGGGTATAGAGACATGCAGCATGACCAGCCTGCACGAGCAAACTGCCTTTCTCAGGAATTGAACACAGGGACATTTTTGTTTTGCTTTTCACTAGTTTCCAAAGGAGGCCAAGCTTATTTGTGTGTATATTTGTGTTTTGGTTTACTGATTTCAGTCAAATTTGACAGGAGGAAGGGGCATTAAGAAATGAATTTTCGTTAAGCTTGTGCAAGAAAAGGTGTGATTAGAGGAAAACCTATTCTTAATACTATAATCTCAGGAAAAACTACAAGTCTTGTCAGACATCAGAGAATCCCGGAGGGAGAAGCTGTTCTACATCATCTACCCACCAGAAGTGCTTTAGTCATAGCTCACACTTTACTGGACCTGACAGGATTAATCAGAGACGGATTTGCAGGTACCTAGTAAAACACAAATTCAATACAACGCTTCCCACGTGGTTAGGGCTGTTACAGCAGGTCTGTCTCTGCCTGTCTGTCTTTCCCTCATTCCCTCTCATTTCTATTCAGTTTAAAAACCAGTCATAGGATCCCAAATGGCCAAAAACCAGAATTCTGCTCTTAATATATATTTAAGATATACACCCTGGAGGGGTTCAAGGGCAGGTTGGAGGGGGCTTGGAGCAACCTGGGCTGGTGGGAGGTGTCCCTGCCCAGGGCAGGGGGTGGCACTGGGGGGGAACTTGAAAGGTCCCTTCCCACCCAAACCATTCCATGACTCTATGAATTGGCACCTCTCCGTGTGTTACCGGCTTCTGCTTTGATCTCACCCGGAGTTTTGTTTGGCTTTTCCCTCCCCGGCTGCCGGCGGTGTCAGGGAGCTCTGTGGGAGGATTCCTGGGTTTGCTGCGGTGGCTGCTGATTCCTAGGACACTGCTCAGAAGTTTGGGTTGGTGTCTGTGTACACGGAGGGCTCGTTGCACAGTGGTGTTCCCCTGCCGGGCTCGGGGCTGACGGCCGGCTCCCGAGGGAGCTTCGGAGCCGCCGGTGCCCGCAGGGATTCCTCTGAGCTCACGTCAGCTGGGTGTATCCCAAAGCTCAGCTCCGAGGCCAGAGAAAGGAGATACTTTGGAGTTGGCGAGAAAGTGTCCAGACAGTCGGGGCCGTTGGGAAGAGCCACATGACTCCGGTGGAAAACAGCGCCAGGACCCCCGTTTTCCCCAGACGTGGGTCGTGGAGCGTGGACGGCGACCCGGGAGCGAGCAGGGCACGGAAACGGTCCCTTGGACTCTGCCTGCGGGGAGCTGTGCTCTTTTAACCTATTAAAAATCAAAAATCCAGACCAGAAGCAGCCTGTTGAACTCCCAGGCCATAAACAAACTCATCAAAATAGCTAATAATTCAGTGCCAGCCAAAAAAAGCGCAACCCACCGAGTGCTGGTCGGCCTCGGTGGTGATGTCTTACCCGGTGCTGCCTAAAGATAATCCAGGGGCACTGGGAGCAACAACCAGGTTGAGGACTTGGCCTGGTTGGGTTTGGTGGGGTCAGGGCTGAGGTGACGGTGACGCCGGTGGAAGGGATGGGATGCGGGAGCCATCTGGCTCATGGTGGGACATCCTTGGGATGCCTGGATGTCTGGTGGTTAAAATCCTCATTCAGAGCAAGCCAGGCTGGTTTATAAATTCCTGACCGTGTCCTGGGGTTGAGACACCATCCTGGGAGCTGGGAGGGGACCATGGCTGCTAGGTTTTGGTCTGTCCTGGGCTTTTTGGGGAAGGAGCTTCTCTGTGCATGCTCTGCACCTCCTTCTCCTTCACCAGAAGGGCACCAGTGCTTCCCCGGTGCCTCTCCTCTCCTCGGGCTGCCCTTGGGACCTGGTGTTTCCCACATGGGGTCTCCGGGTGCCATCAGAATCCCAATAAGGGGTGATCCAGGGAAGCTTTAGCTCGGCCAGGGATGCTCCGTCGCTGCTCCACCACCCCCAGGCTGGGGGCAACGTGGCTACTGTGAGTCCTGGGCTTGCAGAGACCTGGGTCCGGTCTCTCCTTCCTCTCCCTCACGGTTCTCTCGCAGCCTGGCCTCACTGATTTTTTTCTTTAAAATTTTTTTTTTTTTTTTTTTTTTTTTTTTTTAATGCAGGCTCAGGAGTACTGCAGCCTGAGCTGTTCTTCTAATACTGTAGCGCTCCCGTTTTACTTCACGGTGGTCTCGGAGCCCTTCTGGTCAGCCTGGGCCAGGGCCACGGCTTCGGCCCAAGGTGGGAGCCCGAGGAACAGGCTCTGGTTTCTCTTGTGATTTTGTGTCCTGAGGTGCAGCACTTGAGGAGGGTGATTTCACCAGGGGGATGTGATGCTGGTTTGTGTTCTGAGTCTGAAGGTGGACAGGTCCGTTTTGGTTGAAACAGGGAGCAAAGGCATTAAAAGCTAGCCTCGGATCAACCAGTGTTTGTCCCTTTGAGCAGACCAACTTGCTAGCTTGTGTGCCAGAAGCAGTCTAGTTTTAGATAATATATATGAATGCAGTCATCACAGCTTTTAATTTGCTTTCCTGATGCTTGCATGTGAAATATGGAGTTCTGTGTGAACTACTAACGCAGGCCTTTCTAACTGAAATATTCTATTCTAAAATAGCATGGATGAATGCAGGTGAGGTGTTCCGCCCTCATACAGCCATTTCACAAAGTGTCCTGGTTTGAAGTAACACAAGGGCTTGCAGAAACAGTGTCCTATTAAAAAGAGATTGCCCATGTCTGGCATACAGTCACCTGCTCAGCAAAATGCATGCATAAAACAATGGAAAGGGGAAAAAACTAGGTTCACGTTATGCTTTTACCTCGTTATGAAAATTTTCTGTACACAGGAAAAATGGTTCAGAGATACAGCCATATTTTCTGAAACATAAAAGTTTATTTGTCTAGTTACCACTTAAATTTGTAAGTAAATAAAAAATAATTTCTTTTTTGCCATAACATACAGTAAGAACCTCTCCCTACGGATACAACTACCAAATAACTAGTAGTTGTGTGCAAAAGTTAATAGGGCCAAGCTCTAAGTTTCTGCAAACTTTCTGGTAGGTATGGGCTGATTATGTTTAGAAAATATAGTAAGGGATAACTAAATCCCAAATGCTAACAATATATTTTAACTGTTAAATAACTGTTTTTACTGGACTTTAGTTAAGTCTACACTGCACATATAAGGAATGTGCCCATATTGTATTTAAATAATTTACCTTAGCAAATTAACTCAGTTATATCTGTTACAAAAGACAGACTTCTGGTTTGTTTATAACCATAGGCTAACTAAAATGTTGTTTGCTTCCTACTAACCTTCTTACTATGTGAGAAAATAGTTAATTACTGAGCTCTTACTGTGTGAGAAAATGGTTAGTCACTCAGCTGGTAGTGATAATGAGGAGACAGCTAGAAGTAGTTAATCACTTCAAGGTTCTCTCATATGTCTCTCATAGTTAATTGGTACTCCTATACCAATTAAGAGAGAGCTGTGGCTACTTCAAGGAACATCCTTATCATCCTCAAGAAGCTGGCAAAGTTATGGTAAACTTTTAATGTCCTGAGATGACTCAATACCTTAAGACGATAATGTGGGGAAGGGAATCCCTACCCAAACGACCACAAAGAAACTCACACCTGCCTACAAATGTTTTGCAGGTGCTGCAAAATTCAATACACATGTGCAAAAGGGCTATTCAGTCACCTTAATGAATATGTAAGCCTAGGTGGAGTTACTTATTAGGTAGGTGGAATAATTAGAATCTTTGTGTATAAATAATAGATGTGTGGCCCTGGTAAGGTGTGCTAGATTTGTGGATTTCCACCTAGCTGACGTCAAATAAAACAATATCTCCTCTCTAAACTGCTTCTGGTTTTGAGAGCTTTTGTTTCAGGTAACACCCATATTGCGTTTAAAGAGTTTATTTACCTTAGCAAATTAACTCAGTTCTATCTTCAATTCTTAATAATTTTCATCTCTTGTCAATCCTGGCTTTTTACTCAGTATTTCCCTTTGGAGGTGTTTTGTTACCATATTAAGGTATTTAAAACTTAAACCACAATTGCTAAAGGGTCAAATCAAAGGACATGTAATAAATAATCACAGAGCAGCCACAGTTCCAACTGCGTAGTTCTCTGTATTGTGATCTGTTACTACATTTTGATTTTGAGAATGCCTAAATATTCTTAGGCTACTGTATTTTCAGTTACTATTTAGGACCATAGACTTGTGATTCAGAGTTCCCTTCAGTCAAATGAAGGACACTGAGGTAAAGAGCCAGTTAAATCATGTTGCACCTGGTCCTAGAAGGGAGGTAAGAAATTCTGTTTGAAACTGTGTAACTCTGAGTGATCGCTCACTACTTAGAACTTGCTTCTTTTTATCTCAATTCAGCTTTGTATTACAATGGCAGTTAAAGCCACCCTAAATACTTCGCATGTTTCATTTTCCTTAACAATTAAGGATGCTACAGTTGCAGCAGAGGGGAAATGGTGTAGGGAGCACCGTGGCTCTCATGTGCTGGCTGGACTGTCCTTGGCTAAGAGTGTACCCGGAAGCCAGGTCTTTGATGCTTAACATGTAATTAATTAAACAAGCCCACAAGTTACATGCCACTGAATGCAATGCAGACTGATAGTTCATGACTGTTGGAATTCCTATAAAATAAGGGAAAATAAGTATAATAGATTATTTTTGTGGAATAACAGCATGTGGTTTAACTTTAGTAAGGATATACTGCATGTTGTCCTTTACTCACTGGTTCATACATAGCAATTGCAACTTAAATGTCAGCACTGTTGTCAAATGTTACAATGTACTTTAAGTTATAAACTTCCAGTTCTTCTCATTCTAAAGCATTGATTTAATGAAGCTGCAGCTTTCCATGCTTATTTTCTCCTTTTAGATTGCTTGGTTTTGTCTTAAAAGTCTGAACAATGTTCCTTTGTGTATTTCTGCATTGGGGTACAATATACATGGTTTGAGTCAATATATGTATACACACGCAAACAGTGCAGTATGTAAGTATCTGCAATATGGAGATTTAACCATGTGAAGCATCATTACAATTCAAGATCAGTGCAGCATGTAGTGGGTATAGAGACATGCAGCATGACCAGCCTGCACGAGCAAACTGCCTTTCTCAGGAATTGAACACAGGGACATTTTTGTTTTGCTTTTCACTAGTTTCCAAAGGAGGCCAAGCTTATTTGTGTGTATATTTGTGTTTTGGTTTACTGATTTCAGTCAAATTTGACAGGAGGAAGGGGCATTAAGAAATGAATTTTCGTTAAGCTTGTGCAAGAAAAGGTGTGATTAGAGGAAAACCTATTCTTAATACTATAATCTCAGGAAAAACTACAAGTCTTGTCAGACATCAGAGAATCCCGGAGGGAGAAGCTGTTCTACATCATCTACCCACCAGAAGTGCTTTAGTCATAGCTCACACTTTACTGGACCTGACAGGATTAATCAGAGACGGATTTGCAGGTACCTAGTAAAACACAAATTCAATACAACGCTTCCCACGTGGTTAGGGCTGTTACAGCAGGTCTGTCTCTGCCTGTCTGTCTTTCCCTCATTCCCTCTCATTTCTATTCAGTTTAAAAACCAGTCATAGGATCCCAAATGGCCAAAAACCAGAATTCTGCTCTTAATATATATTTAAGATATACAGGCTGTGAAACCTGGCAGTGCTTTAAGTTTTTCCCCACTTTGAACGGCTGGCAATTAACTGGAGATTTTTACATGTGAAATGTTACAGTGTGGGAGTTCCTCACCGGAGTGTAAAGGAAAGTATGACCAGAGGTTGGAAACACTGAACTTCACGTTTTGCTTTGAATTTATTGCCCGCAGTAGTGACATAAACATTAAATGGAAGCAAATTGGCAGTTGCCCCTTCAGGACTTGGGGTTGTTGTAAAACTGGAGGAAATGAAAACTCATGACTGGATCTGGAGGAAAATGCTGCCTCCTGGAAAGGATAAAGAGGTAAGTTTTATTTGATTGGTTTTCTATTTTTAAACTTACATAAGGTTATTTGCTCTTTTATTTGGCTGGTGTTTTAGACTGGCTGCAGTCACTTCCAAGTTGCCTTGTAAGGGGAAATGTACCAAAGGCATACAAGGTGTGCTGGATCAAATTTGTATTTTTAGGGGAATGCATAGAAGCAAAGGGGTTTGCACCTTCAGAGCCACACTGAGAAAATGTGCCATATATCATAGACAAATTAAGAAAAGGCAGAAAAGAGACTTTCCAGATGCTGCTTGCAAAAGATTATGAAAATAATAGGTTCATAAAGATACGTTGCCAGATAATGCCACTGATACTTATTGTGTGATTCCTTTGATTGACTTTATAGCATTTTGTAATGTTAGCTCATGGAAAAGTAAGATTTTCTTGACAATTACTGTATTATGGAACCAAATTCTGTATTTTATTTCAACCTTCCACATCTCTGTAAATCTTCAAATATATTAAAGCATTAACTCTCTTAAGATTTTCACAAAACTGTTTACTATAAATTTGCTGATTCCTGGGTCAAGTTTACAGTCTAATGTCCACCTGAGCTAATTGTAGAACTGGGCATACATAGACAGTGAAAGAGAATTTATGTGAAGGGAGTGTTAAAGAGCAAGGGATTTGGTGCTCAGAACAGATTTTGGCGAAAAGCGTCTTATTAGACTAAAATACTTCCTTGCAATTCCCAGTCCTGATATTACCTAAACCAAACTAAAAGTGGGCTTGCTCAAATTCTGACATCAGAGACTCCTGCCCTTGCAAGTCAGTAATTGTGCAGGCAACATGCATACTTGCTTTAATCTATTGTTTTTTAAATTTATTGATTTTTATTTCTGTAACTGTCTTGATGACTGTCTATTAATTATTTATTGTTTCATCTATTACTATTAACTAAAGATCAGCCAAAAACAAATTTAGCTTTCCACTAAGAAATTACATGGATTTCTCCTTTCAACCTAACGAAACTCTTTGAACAGAAAGCCAAATACGTCAAACTCTTCCTAAAAATCTCTCACAGCCAAGTGGAATATCCTCAATTCCCTAATCCCTCCCTCACAGAGCATGAGGAGTGATGCAAAGTGTTTATATATTTATTTATTTATTTAAATTTTAGCATTGTTAATGGCTGGCATTTAAAATGGTTTTGCAAAGACGCAGTTGAAAAGTTACATGCATTCCACTCTTTCTAAAATACCCAGGAATGTCACTAAATAACTGGAACTGTGGGTGAAAGGTTAATGAAACTGACATATCCCATTTCTGAAAAGAGATGTGTGTAAGAGTACATGTGAACTATTTTAACGTGGGTGATTTTTCATGTAGGCGACGAAAAGGCTATCGTGCCTTTCCCGGTTTGTCGACAGAGCAGCAAAAAAAGACGGAGAGCCGGCGGCCAGTCGGTCAGTCAGCCGGTCAGGGGCTGTTTGTCTCCCCGGCCCTGCCCTCCGTCCCGCGCCGCCGGCCGCGTCCGTTGGCAGCGCGCGAGCGGCTGGGCCCAACGGCCGCCGCTCAACGGCCGTCGGCGGCCCCTGGGGCGAGGCGGGAGCGGGCGCGCGCCGCCCTTCAGCTGTGAGGACGGGAGACGCCTGAGGGACGGGTGGCGGCGGCGGCGGCGGGAGCAGCCTTCTCGGAGCGGTTTGCGGGGGACACCACTACCTGTTCTACCGGTGCTTGCGGGCCGGTCTCTCTCGCTATTTATTTTAAATTTGTGGCACTTATAATGCGGTTTATTTAAGTGCTTAAATTTAAAATCTTTCCTGACAAAGCAAAAGCTGGTCTGGTCACATTGTGAAGTGGTAGAACCTTGGGCTTTTTTCCCTTTTAGGTGTGAACTTGGATAAGTAACTTGAAGAAATGGACAAGATAAAAAAATCTGCAATCTTTTTAGTCTTCATGTTTATTAGCTAAATATTTTGCCAATCTGTGGTAATGTGATTTAAGTGTCAAGGGCCAATTCCTTAACCTGTTTGAGTTATTTGAACAAAGGTAGAGACTGAAGCAATTTTCTCAACTTCAGAGGTATTAAATCCTGTTAAGAGGTAATGACAATTTTTACAAGTGTGATATCATGTATTATTTAGGCATTTCTTTTGACACTGTACAGGTTCATTGTGATGATGGAAAAGCAAGCAACTGCTAAATCGTCTACCATTTTCATCTCGGATGCTGTTAAAGGGCGTAGGAAGGCAAGGGATGGAACATTCCAAGGTGCAAAATGGAATGCTTCTTTAGCATCTAAAATCAAAAGTAAATTAATAAGTAAGTCCTGTTAAAATAAATCTGAAGCCATTTACTGTACTTAGAACACATGACTTCAAAATGAATAGTAATCGTATTTAATGTGATTTGCTGAATTGCCGCCTGCTAAAAATATTAGTGTGGTATGTTGAGAATTTTAGGAGAGTCTGAAAATCAAAACACATGATTTTAAATTGTTTGTTTATCTAATTCTCTGAGTATTTTCAGTGCTTTTCTTTCTGTTATCAAAATTCACATTTTTGCTCAAAATGTTTGAACTTTTTAATTTGTAAAATGTAGATTGATTTCTAGAAACTTGGGAACATTTTTGTGCCTGTAAAACTATTGTTTTTTAAATGCTTTCTCCTTAAAATGACCTGATTTTAAAAAATCCAGACTAGAGCAGAATCAGTGCATGGAATAATTTTGCACGTGAAACTGACAGTAGTTATCAGTATGACAGCCAACAGAAATAGTTTTATATTAGAATGTTTTAGGCTTTGCCATTGTTCCACCAAAACATACAGGTAAAAATGTTGTTATATAGTGATTGTTCATGCATGAGGGCATGAAGCTGTTGAAAATAATATGATTTTGTCTTCTTTAGATAACTCATCTATGTTTAAAGTAACTTTAAAACAAAATAATAGAGCGTTAGCTGTGGCTTTGAGTGTGGAGAAAGAAAATTCTCGGAAGCTAAAGAATGAGAAGATTTTTCTTCAGAAGGAAGTAGAAAAGTTGCAGCTTCATAATATCTTGCTTCATCGAAAATTAAGCTGTGTGGTATGCTGCAAATAATATAATTTAAACTTAGATGTGCTAAACTAAGCATCTGTCCTTTTCTGGAAACTTAATATTGCTTCTTAAAATGGTGATTTAAAATGTACATCTCAGATTTGTGAAGTTATATCATCTGATAGCATAGTATTCAGATTTGATTTTTTTATATTTCTTTCATAGGATTTTTTTGTATTTACTATTTTGTCTATCAGTGTATATTTCTATCCATAGCTATTCAGTCATCGGCTTCGTCATTATATTTACAGGTATTGAGATGGTATTAAAAATCAGTTTGGGCTCAATTGCTGGAAAAAAAATAATTACATCTTAAATTCACCTTTATATCTTCTCTTTTCTTAAGCCACTTAAAATATATTTTTAAATTTATTTTTTTTCTTTTACATGCAGAATAAAACTCTTATAGAAATAGAAGCGTTTTTAAATTATAACCTTTTAACTGCAATAGAAATAAGCAGTCTTTCTGAGGTAAGATATTTTCTGAACTAATTTCATATTGAACTCATTTTCCAGGGTAATATTTTCAAAGCATCTAAAGCAGCGCAATGTTGAAATCCTATATGCATTTTTAAACATTTACCCCAATTACTTAAAAGCTTGGGATGAAGCCCTAGTCTAGTGAACTCAATTAAATTTTGATGTTGCTTGTACTCAAAATTTAGGTTTTAATCTTGTTTACAAAGTATCTAAAAGTTAAATATCAGTTAGCCCTGATGAAGTCATGTGGCTAAAAAAAAAAAGACATAGTACTTCGGTATGTGGTATTTTTTACCAATGAGCAAGTTACTTGCCTTCCTTGCCTAGTGCTGCAATAAATATCGTGCATGTGGAAACTTTATCAGAAAACCTAGTCCATGTTAGTCCTTGTGTCATGGCAAAATTACAGTTAATTTTTTAAAATGTATTATTTTTATTGTCTGTTCCAAACAGTTGCTTAGTGTTGTTATGTGCTTCTATATGTATATAGAATAGTTATAGCTCTATTTAAAAAGTCTATGCATTGCTTTGGGATGCAAGTAGGTTACAGATTTTGATAAGTTTTGCTACAAAATATTTTTCTGTAAAATTATTGTGTGTGTTTGAATATCATGCACCTTTCATTAGTACTTATATTTTTTTGCCCATTCAAAAATTTTTTGTCCTGTGGATATTTCTGATACTAAAAAGAATATTCAGCTATTTCTACTTCCCCACTGTTCTTCTTTTTAAGAATCTTCAGAGTTCTCTTCCTCTGTCAGCGGGTTCAAGTAGCGCTGTTGGTGACCAGTTCAAGGGCAGAAGGCAGTCTGCTAGGTAGGTGGTTATATTAAACGCAGAAGTCGCTAAGTGTCTGTGGATTTTTTTGCAGGTCATCTTTGTGTATTGTCCTAGGTATTATGACTTAATGTGAAACAATTTTCTGTATAATTCAGAAATTACCTGTTTGCAACTTGGAGTTTATATACAGAGAGAGTGGTAGATAAAACTTGTGTTTGAATAACTTGCTTCTTTCTTCAGGGAATCTCACCTGCATAAAGCGGTATTCTCTATCATAAGAAATACATTTGCCCCTAAGACAGAGCCAGATTTCATACCTGAGGTCTTATTTTCTGCTTTTATATGTTATTAAGGGAATGTTTTAAACAATTGAATATTATGGCATAAAATGTAATAAACATCTTCACAGTAAAATTTCCTCTTTTCAGATCTGTAGAATTGCCAGTGAAGCTTCCTTTATTAGCATCAGCTAATGAAAACCAGCAAGATAGTCCTTCTGTGTGTGAAATACCAAACTTTTATAAGAGTACCACTATTTTGTCAGAGGAAAGGCATTCAGATCAAGTCAAGTTCTCATTATCGTTGCCTTCTGGTAAAAATAATCAAAAGTTAATTGAAATAGAGCCGGTGGAAACAACCATTGACAAAAATATTTTTTTGAAAGGTATGATGTACTTTTGTACAGGTGATTTATTTTTCAGAACTATCTGAGAACTAGAATTTAATGATTCATTACTCTATGTGCAATACAGAAGGTATAGTACTAAACTGTAATAAACTAGTTAAAAATAGGATGGTCACCCATGAGCGTAGGTGTACTGACAATCGCTTGTAGAATGTTCATTGAAATAACACAACTGAAATGTAACAAAATGAATGTGAACAGAAGAAAACTTTTATAAGATAACTAATCTATAGCTAAAGTAGTTATAGAAAAATACATTTTTATTTATACCCAATTTCAAAAGTCCAGCTTTGGTGGAATATGAAATTAGTTCTAGTTAACTAAATTTTTAAGGACCAACCACAGAATGTGTGTATTCAGTAAAAAAACCTAACCAAAAAAACCCAAAACACGGCGCGCGCGCACACACACACACACACACACACACACACACACACACACACACACACACACACACACACACACACACACACACACACACACAGAGTTTGTAATTTTCCATGCTTCCGGTCCAACCTTCAGTAATCTTATTCTGATAATTATAATCTATTCTTTCTTCCCCCAAGATTCTGATATTTTTCTCTTTGCAGAAAATCAAGTATGCACAGAACTAACTTGCAATAGTGCCTTCCCGACTCATGTCAAAAATGCACAATCTTTCAGGCGGTCTGAGGAGCTTACAAAACAATATAATGATAGTTCATTGCCATTCTGTGGAAATGTGACTGAAAGAAAGAAACATGCAGCATTTTGTCAGTCAAAAACTCAACCTAATGTAAAGGATTCTGATAAAAAAGGTAGCTCAGATAATCTGCCTTATGGTATCAACAGCGGCAGCACCACCAATGATGTGAATTTGCGGCAAAGTTCAAGTGACTTGTCTCACATTAGTCCTTCACCTCTTAAATTTAGCAATGAAAGCAAGAGAGATTTAAAGCTGCTGCTTTTTACTGACAAGATGAAGCCTGAAGAAACTGTTTATGGTGCTGATATGGAGTTGACTGCCAGTGATGCAGGTGAACTACTCACAGTTACAGCAAAAGACAAAGATAAATTACACCAAAATAGAAATAGTAATGCTAATTCTGATAAAATATTACCAAATTTCAGAAAAGTAAAATACTCTAAGAAGGATAAAAAGAAAATTAAAAGCAAGACTGAAGCAAGTTCAAATATATATGCAGAAGAAAGACTCACTAGGCCTGACAGTAGTGAAGCTTCAAAAAGTACTGACTCACAAACTCAATTATTCCAAAATCAGACAGAACAACCACCTACAGGAGATTCTGTAGGGAAACAGGGTTTGCAAAATACCGGCAAAGATTATCAAGCCCAAAATTGTCCAAGTAAAGCTAAAGATACTAGGAGGACATACCAGGTTAACTTAATGAGTCCAAGAACCCAGGAGACAAATAAAGACACTTTCTCAGAAATGTTTGAAGAAATGGAAAGCAAAATACAAAAATCAGACTCAAACTCCTCTATTAACAAGATACCACCAGAAGTTTATTGTGCTGAAAATTTAACATTCCAAGATAACACTTCTAATGTATTACCTTTGCAGCAGGACTTTCTGCATACAAATGAGAAACATAGCAGTCCAGAAGTAAACAGGAAAACTTTTCAAAATCCTGCTAAAGCAAACACAGCAAAATACTGTAGAGAGGAAAATGGACAGTATGGAGAATATATTTCAAAAAAGTCTCAAGCAGAGATACACCACCATGACAGCAAGAGAAAACAAGAGCAGAAGAATACTGTAAAGAGAAAATACAACAACAAAAGTAGTTGCAGACAAAGTGGAGAAACTGATAGTGACAGCACTCAGAAAATTACTCAGAAAATAAACCAAAAGACTAGCCATTTTTCTCCCGGCGGATTAAAACGTACATTGGCAAGGGCTAGCCGGAAAGTACATATAATACCAAAAGAAAACCTTACACAGTTCTCACTTTGCAAAAATGAAGAATTAAAAAATAAGGATGCATTGCATGCGGGGTCTGTATGTGGAAATAAAGTAACCAAAACTCAACAAATGCAGGCAGCTTTAGTTACTCAGAATGGTGTAGCCACCAATGCTTCACAAGCTAAAGAACAAGTTGATGATGATTCTAATACTTTAAAGAAAGTAGAATCCTCATTAGTGGCTCATAAACCCCCTCACATTAGTACTGCTGCTGATAATCCAGTAAAGCATAAGCAGAAGTTTGGTTCTGATATTATTGAGACCAGATCAGAAAAAAAATATTTCAGGCATATCGATCAGGGGGAGCAGAATATTTTGGATGACCAGGAAGACCCTCATGAGAGAGATTCCTTTATGAGCAAGTTAAAGCCTACAGTTCAAAAATCAGAATTTTTAAAATCCTTATCTGTTGAATGTTCTAAGAACGTGCCATTAAATGTAGATGACTTTTCCCAGGAAGGTCTTTCCAATGTGGAGCCCCCAGCTATTGATAACCACAACGCTTCCATGAACTTCTCTATACTGATAAACCCTGAAATATGTGGGGGAAATGATCATAATAAAGCACCAGATGGTGGAAAAGCAGAACAAAAACTGGATCATATTTCTGAAGAGACTTACATAAAGACTCTGACATCTTGTCATGGTAAGTGTATAGCTGAGGAAAAAACTGGCATTTTCAACTAGGTAGTGCCTGAAATAGTGGTAAGCTATCTTAATACTATCTTACTCTCATTGTTTGCTTAGAGTGGATAAAAGAGGAGTGGAAAAAGGTAGGACTGAAAGTCACTAAAATAATTCATATTCTATACCATGTATCAGTCACTATCTTTTTAAATTGTGGTAACTAATACCCTTGTTACTTTTCAATATATTCCAACATGACATTTAGTTGGGCAGATGTAAGTAGTCTACATTCTTGAGCATGTATTATTTTTCAAAGAATGTGATGAAATTCAGAAAGCTGGGGATAGAAAAGATATAATGGCTTGAGCTTTTATACAAGGGATATGAGTGAACTACAGTGTTCCCTTCATTGGAAGAAGAACCTAGCTGGACCTAAAGATTTCATTTGTATGTCTTTAGAAACACCACAATTCAACAGGAATTCAGAGATCTAAAATAAGTATTTTGAGCAAGTTTTCTCTAGAATCTACCCATGAGCAAATTTTCATGTCACAACTTCTTTTTAAGTAAGATACCTTAATGAAGAAAATAATCAAACTTTAGTGTAGTCTGGAATATAGGTTTAGATTCTTCTATCATACATTTAAATCACTGTAAAAGAACTAAAGGAACGTATCACACCTCTATGCTGGAGTTTAAATATGCTTTAAAATGCAGTTTTGAAGTTTTATAGCATGAGGTGCCTATTTTGTAAATGTATTTATTCTTAACAAGTTCCTGTTTACTTTAATTGTCTCTGAAAATGTCCCAATACCTAAACATTTTAAATTAACAGTTTGAGTCCCAAACTATCAAGCAAATACTGCCTTGGCTTCATTTGAATGCTGAGACACAATGGTCAAAAAATATCTCCTATTTTACATGGCCAAAGAATAGGAATACAGGCAGAATTAGACCATCATGCAAAGTATTAGCCCTGGTAATTCGCAGTTGCATCTTCTCATCTTCAGTTCTTTCACTGGAATGTAGAATAAGGATCCCATAATTTTATTAGCTTTAATGATGAATTAGTAAACCTTTGTGATCAGCAGTGTCAAAGACTACTGAAATAAAAAGCAGATCATGTGATCTTCATCCATTTAAGAATAGTTCAAAAACCAGTTCATTTTTAATCTTATATCCAAGTCCATATCTTGAATTAAAAGAAAGCAAGGAAATGCCATCCTTTCTGATGATGCCAGCTCTTCTGTCACTGCCTTGAGGTGTACTTGGAAATATACCTTAAAGTCTCGTGTAATGGAACTCTCTGTATAGCTAGATCTATGTGAACATTCACACACAAAGGCATCCATCCAGCTTTCCTAAATAATGCAGACTCATGAATGTCTCGAAACTCTTCCTGCTTAAAAAGAAGCTAACTTGATCTCTTAGCTTCAAGCTTTAGGAAAAGCTCAGAATAACAGTTTACTTTCACTTTAGAACTAGTACAAATCAAGATTGATTTGTGGAGCAGCCAAACTTGGGAGGTTTTTCATGATTGGAGACACTTCTCGTTTAAACCAAATGAGCATTGCTCTTCCTTAATGGAATTCCTCCAAAAGATAATGCTTTTTCTTTTGCCTTCATAAATCAGGAGGGACTTGCTGCAAGCAGTGCAAAATCACCTTAATATGTCTCTCAGAAGTGAAGTTAGCAGAAATCCAATTAACAACCTCTGACTTTATGTCTCTGCTTAACACATTTCAGAACGCTATTGATGAAATGATCAGTCTTGCCCACTAAGATATTTCACTTGATCTCAGCACAGAATTCTACAACAGGGCAATAATAATTCAGCACTATCAGCTTGACCATCAGTTAGAGTGTATGTGCTAGACTGTACAAGGTATTCAGATACTACAATAGAGAACAAGAATCTTCACTTTTTTTGACAGGGGTGTGAATATACAGTGATATTATTTGTTAGTCTCAAGATAGGCACAACAAAAAATTAATTTATCCCATATGTGTATGGGATCTGTGAGATCAATAGCATCCGTTCACTGCTGCAGAGGATTTAAGGTAAAGCGTTCAAACTCAAGAAGTGAAGATAAGAGTTTTAAATTCAGTTCCTTTGAAAAACTGCGTTGCAGATGTTCTCATCTGGATGTAGTAAATCTAATACTTGACCTTTATCAGTGGGGAATGTACACTCTTGGAAGAACTTTTAAGGAATACAGATTAACATTATTTATTTCATCTTGGATTGCTGCCCACATTAAATTGTAGTGCTTTTCAGAGAAACTATGATATACGAATAAGGGAGAATTTTTTGAAATGTCATCTAAATAATAATTTCAGTATTTCTCCCAAATTATCAAAGTATTTATCTCTAAATTAAATATTGATTGTTTAGTCTGGCATTCTGAATTGGCTTTAAGGGATTATGGAAGGCTGACATAAATAGTACTTCTTCTAGTGGTTGTGTACTTCTAGGTGGTTACTGTTTTTTAATGAAGTATTCCTCTTGGACAGGCTTCAAAATACAAGGCATAAGAAATAGCTTGGTAGTATACAGTTTTGAAGATAAGGAGGCTCACTTGATCACCATGCTATGCTCATTTTATACATGTATGCCCAAAGAGCAGGCATAAAGCTGGAAAATGCAGTATTAGAGAGCTCTTGTATGAGCTGAATCTTCAGACTACACAAATATGTCCTCTCCCTGCATTCAAGGCCATCAGCTGTGTGCAGTTTTGCTTTTTTAAATGCAGTAACTCTTGGGAGTGTTGAGCAGCTAGCTGCCAATTACAGTGCTTATGGGCTTTTCTTAAAACGTCCCAAGAGCCATGACAGACCTCAAGCAGTTCCAAATTTTGGTAGGTTGAAAGCTGATGTAGTAGCACTTCCTTTGATCATCTAGCCCATTTTTGCTGAGCATCTTTAGAGTAGGAGCAGTAACCAAAGTGCCTGAATTAATAAATACTAATTAAAAATAAATATGAATTGAAAGTTTACTTAATGATCAAGAATATATTTAAAATGAAGCATATAAATTACTGTTTTTACAGGGAGAAAGGCTTTACAAGATCTGACAAATAGTAGAATACAATCTCGTACATCCTTACCAAAATGCCCCCAAACTTTAGAAGAAAACTCGGCAGCACCATCTAGACGACAAAGAGCCACTATTTGCTATAAAGAACCCAGTCTATCCAGGTAGGTATATGTAAATTGGGTTTTCATGTGTACTTAACTATAGCCAGTAAAGATTTGCTATTAAAACCACCAAATAAAGACAGTTTCTCTTTCACAAATCTCTTCTGTGAAGATACTTCAGTGTGGATATAAAACATTTCCTGCTAGTCTGGCAGGATTTCCAGGTGCCAAAGAAATACACCAACAGTATTCAAGGATCAAAAATTAAATATAATGTATAATATAACATTTTATACTAGTACTGAATAATGGTGAATTCTTAATATTTATCATGATATAAACCCCTTTAGAGGTAGATAATTGTAAATGTTATACTTAAATATAAACTTATACCATAATAATGTCCTTGTAATATTGTCAAGTGGCAGGATAATTTGTGCACTAATATTATGTAATTCAGTCAGTTTGCTTTAACTAGCTGTATCTAATATGAGAAATCATTTGAGTTTAAGATATATTACTTTGATATTTAGTTATTTATTATTATTAACTAATGTGTATATATATTAGTTATTTACCTCTCGGTGTTCTTAGCAATTTTAGTGGCACAGGATTTCTAACTATTAAAAGGCAACACATAAATTGTCTAATAACTATTAAAATTTAAAAGCGATATTTAAAGCCAAACTTCCATTAAGAAAACTAATGTTTACACTTAGAACCATAGAATCATAGATTCATCTAGGTTGGAAGTGACCTTTAAGATTATCGAGTCCAGACATCAACCTAACACTACCAAGTCCACCATTAAACCATGTCCCTAAATACCACGCCTATACGTCTCTTAAATACCTCCAGGGATGGTGATTCCACCACTTCCCTGGGCAGCCTGTTCCAATGTTTGATAACCCTTGCGGTGAAGAAATTTTTCCTAATACCCATTCTAAACCTCCCCTGGTGCAACTTGAAGCCATTTCCTCTTGTCCTATCACCTGGCAAAACTCGGGGAGGAGAAGACAATAAATCCACAAACTGAATAAATTAGCACAATGTTCTCATACATCCTCAAAATATTTTTATATACCTCTGTGAGTAAGCAAACAATTAATTGAAGCAATGAGACCAAGGGCAAATAAGCGGTAAAAAATGGTAGAAAGTGTCTTTTCACTTTACCACTGGCTTTTCAGAAATATTTATGCCAGATAGCTTGTAAAAGAAATGCAAAGGGATTGCTTTACATTTTTCTTTTACTAATTGAATTGGATGCTAAAATGCTGTAATATTATGACTGACACATTCTGCTCTTTTACCCCACAGTGATAAGGTTCTGTATTTCTGGAGAGAGACAGTAACTAATAAGAGAAAAAAATGTGGATGTCACACAAGATTTTAGATTACTATCCCTATGTATATTTTATTTCAAGTGTATTAACTTGAATAGATGCTTCTAAGCTTTTGGTTTAAATAATTTTTGAGTTTTGTCTTAGAGGAATAAATTATGATTACTCACCTTTTAATATGATACAGGCCACATAAAAAGATTAGTATTTTTAGTATTATTTTTGAAAACAGAAGTTATCTATGCCTTGCTATTTCAGATATTTATTTTCCATAAATTTAATATCTTTAATGTATTAATCTTTCACTCAGAGTATTTAAAATTTGAAATTGTTATTAGAATTACATAATTATTATAATTATAGTTACATAGGTGCTTGGTGATATTCATACATGATGTGTTTTATTTCTTTTGTTTACAGCAAATTAAGGCGTGGGGATCAGTTTACAGATACACAATTTTTGCATTCCCCGATCTATAAAGTAAAAAATAAAGTAAGTTTTAAAAGTAAATCAAAATTCATTTGAAGAAGAGAAGAGAATTGCCTCTATGAAGAACACTTCTAAAATGGGTACAATTTTTAAAATATATATATGTGTGTGTGTGTTTATCAGTAGAGAGTGCTTATTGTTCTTTGATTAGTAATGGTCTTCCAAAGTGGAATTTCCTGGAAAGGAGCCTCTATGTAAGGGACACAATACTCTACTGAGGAAGGCAAATACAGGTTAGGCTCCACTCTTGTGTTTTGCATTTCTGGTCAGTAATTTATAATCTGTTCAAAGGGTTTGCAGCACTTCTTAATTTGTAAGAAAGGTGTATGTTTTAATGAGAATTAAAAATAAATCACCTTTGGGAATTTTATTGTGAGTTTTTCATATTTACTATGAGGAGAACCATTTTCTTATTGCTGGCTGGAACAGATGCAAGCATCCCAAATTTTGATAAATTAACAAATTACTGAAATGCAGTTCTTTTTTGTTTTGATAGTTGACTTTTGGATTTGACAGAGTCATACTGAAATTTGAATGAGGAAGTCTCATTCTGAGGAACAGTACAGAGAAGTAGTGTTCAGAGAATGTGCCAGAGGCAGCCAGAGCGAATATAACGCTGCAATAGAAATTCAGTAGTAAATAGGATCCAGACAGAGCAACACCTTGAGTTTTCAATTGAGTGCTAGTGTGATGACTAATACAACCACATCATACCACTCAGCTGTGAGGTTTTTGCACTCCTTTCCCTCTGGATTCTCATGAATCACTTCTGCATTCCATAATCCACTGTCAACTGACAAACAGCTTTCTGGCATTTTCTGAATTGTAGATGCTGCCAGCTGCAGGCTATAACTCACAGCGCACACAACTTTTATAGATTATATCAGATAAGGTTCAGGCTCCTTTTGCAACCAAGATAGCCACAGCTCATTTTTAATGAGATACGGATAAGTTAACTTCTTTTGGTTATGGAAGGTGGTTCTTCACACAGTATGCAGTTACGCTGAGGAATTCCTTACCATAGGAGTAGATATTGTTAATTTATGTAGGCTTAACAATTGTTTGCACTATTTAACGGAAGAAAAATCCTCGAGGAATTACCAGGAACAGCATTTTTGGCAGAGGATGTCCCTGAATTGCAAATTATTGAAGGCTGGAAGAAGCCTCACTATGCATCTGACCAATTTTTATATTTTTTCCAAGGGCATTCACTGTTGAAACTTTCAGAGACCCGTGCTTTGGTTAGCTAGACCTTTCGTCTGATATGGTACACCTCTTTTTAAGAGGTGTAATTAATACTCTTAAATTTATAATATATATTTTTAAAATACCAAACCAATTGTCCATTTTACATGGACAGACCATAAACATTAAGTGGCACAAAGCTATTATTTACAAATAAGTAACACCACAACTGTTTTCTGGTGGGTTTTTTTGGTGGGTTTTCATGACAGTCTGTAGTGCCAGGGCAGCTTCCCCAACATCCTGTAGAGCATTCCATGTATGAATTTGGAGTTAAAGATACCACTAGTGAGGTAGTTTACATAGGGGACCTTTATCCCCTACGCAAACAGAGAGCTTGTCTAGCTGTGGCCACTGGTTCCAGAGACCATGTAAAGATTGTAAATGTACAGCAATAAGGACAGCAAAATGTTTTCATGTAGAATTCTTCCAGTATTAAATTTACCTTATCACCCAGGCAATGTGATCTGTATTGCAAAACAGTGAAGTTTATTTGAGAAGTTTCAGCAAACAGGCTTTTTCTTTCTGAAACTTACTATATACTTACAACAGCAGACCATTATAAAGAGGCGTAGAAATGGTTGGGAAGATAGAGTCTATCCTGATTCAGTTGATTTGGAAAAGAATTACATATAGAATATTTTTACACATTCTTTCTTGTATTTTATTACCAAGTTAATGATTAATTGGGTTTTTTTAATTGAAATTTGTTTAAGTTAAATGTTCACTGTTTATCAACATCACCAGCTATGTCATTAGAAATCCAAAAGGAGTATCTGTTACTACTTGTGTTCCCTGCACTGGCACCAAAGCAAGTGAAACACAGTGGTTATTTAAATAGTTGTTTCTCTTTTGAAAGCTAGAAGCAGAACCACATGCTTCATTTTCTCAGAAAAAAAAAAACAGTCTTTTTGGAGATGGTCTTAATTATTTTTTCAGTGAAGGTCCCATTCCACACAGCCTCCAGTGTTACCAGCTAGACAGCTACGATGTTCCAAATAAAAAGCATGTAATAAAAGTATAAGGCCTAGGGCTTTATGCCTTAGCTTCTTCCATTCCTTTTAGTATAGATATCTTTCAAAGCAACAAATGATAAAGAAAATTACCTCAAGATGCATAGAAGTTATTTGAAGTAACTCTGAAATCATATTGTTATTGCTGCTGCCCTTCTTTCCTTGTTTTCTCCATTCTTACTGTTTTTGTTACTCAAATTGATGTTGTATATGCAGAGAAAATTTACTTTGGTAACAGTTTTCTAGGATGCAGTTCTTTTAATTGTTCTGCAAAATGGTCACTTGAGGTACTGCATAGATAATGTTACATTGCCTGTTGAATCTTCACTAAATGTGCTTCTTTTACTGGATCAGTTGATATATTAGAAGCTCTTGCCAGGAAAAAAATGTAAAAACAGCTCAGGATATTCAAGACAAAAATTAATCTGTAGCTATCACAGGAATTAAGGGGTTTTTGCTGAGGATAAGGCAATGTGAGCTTTTTATAGTTCACATTTTTCTCATGTTTATTCAATTTATATTTTTTTACATTTAATATTTTAGTTTACTGCTGATAAAGATTTTGATTGTTTTAAAATTTGTAGAAAAATTAATATTTATGTTAAACAGGACGAAGAAAATATTTATGATTCTATAAACCTTTGCTTGCACAGTTAGTCCTTACAAATGCTTATAAAACCCGGAAGTTACTGCCTGTTATTCTGGGAGTGCAAGTTTATGCAAAATTCCCCTTGGGCTCATTCTTACTCCATTGCTGGATTTTATCACAATTTAAAATGACCTTTGGAGATTTTGTTGTTGGAACGTAACAACAGTTCACATCACTGGTGTTGCCATTTTGCTCCGGAGGAACATACATGGCCTTGGAGAAAGTGTGAGGTTATGTCGTAGTTTTTTACTATACCTTAGAAGGCTCCAGTAAATACATTTTGTGGTGAGCTCTACGTGTTAAGAACATCTGACTTGTCCCTTCGGGGGACACCGGACCCCAGCTCCGGCGCGGTGCTCGGCGTCCCCCCGCGTACTCCCCTGACCGCCGCCGCCCCGTCCACCCCGCTGCGGCCCTGCCCCGCCCCCGTCCCCGCTGCCATGGGCTCTCCGGCTCCAGCTGCTGCAGCTGCCTGGGATTTCCTGCCGCTGCTGGTTCCGCCGTCGGGGTACAATGTCTCTGCAAGGGGCGGCGGGGGCTGAGGAGCTGATTTTCTATGTGAATGGGAGGAAGGTAAGTGTGGCCCGGGAAGAATGTGGAGAAAGGGGGGCTGCTGTTCCACAAGTAACCCCCAAGGGTATGGGCACAGGTTTGCTTCCTTCAGACTTCTTCCTTGTGGAAGTATAACTGAATCCTTACACAAGCCTGCAGAAGCATTCCTTCCTGTCTCCACCTTGCTGGGTAAGATACAAATCAGCCTGCAAGTATTACTTTAGTTAGCTAATGCTCTTCTGCAAGTGGTTAGAAGGGGAAAAGCAGCAAAGGAGCGCTAACATGATTACAGCATCCCCTTTTAGCTAGCTTTGCTGCATTTGGGGGAAAAACATGTCAAAGTGAAATGGACTTTCAGCTGGGTATCAAATTTGGCTGGTGAGCAAACTAGTTTTTCATTTGTACGTGCCTGGCTTCTCATCTTTAATGGTATCAAAGAAGAGGCATCAGATTTTGAGAGGCACAACAGGAAGCTGTCGAGACTCAGGTGCCAAAAAGGACTACTGGCCAACATAAAGATAATATTGCAGGAACAAAATTAAAATGGTTGTTGATTCAATGAGACTGGGAGGAACAAGCTGGTTCTAAGAAATGGAATAAGAAATGCTGTAACCAATCAAGAATGTAGGCATTTCTATTGCTCTCTGTTGTTAGTCTATCACGGCAAGTGAAAGCTTTTATAAATAAAGCTAGAAGAAAAGTGGTTCCTGCTGATAGCCTTACAGGCTTCCTCTGGTGCTCAATCCCAGTAGGTTAAAGTGCCAGGGAAACCCTAAAATCTGCAAACCATTATTTCTTTATATTGTGCTGCCTCCTTTCTAGCAAAGTTCTGCTGCACTTTTTTGTCTAGTGTGGCTGAAGTTAAATTCCCTCAGTATGACCTTTCACTGAGCAGCAGTTATTTTTAGTAGTTGCAAGGTGCCCGGGCACTTCTTTGCTGGAAATGTGTCTGTCTGGGAAGGAATTTCCAGAAGCCCAAATCCTCTTGTGGTCTTTGGCAATTAGTCTAGTTCTACGAGAGAGAACCAGAGAAGGATTCTCTTCTAGCTTTGTGGGAATGTAGTCTGGGCCCTGAATTTTGAAAAGCCTTGGTTTCTTGGTTAAACCTTGTTTTTCATTTCTTGCTGCAGATAATAGAGAAAAATGCTGATCCTGAACAAATGCTGTTGTCTTATCTGCGAAAGAGACGTATCCTTTTCTTGCCTGTTCCCTTAAGTCACTCATTTGAAAGCCTTATTTGAGCAGAATTCACATAAATGCTACTTCAAAGGTGATTTACCAGTTTGAAGAAGTTGTGTCTGCCTTAAGCTAAAAACAACCATATTAAATGATGAGTCTTTCTTACGCCAAACACTCTTCAGCAAGCTGCTGTATTTTTAGCCCAGTTTCCTAAACAAACAAAGTTATGCCATCAGGCATGGAGTCTATGTGTGTATCTGTGCCTCCCCTCTCCCCCCATAAAGAAACCCAAGAACCTTTTGGCCAGGGTACATAAAGCTTAACAGAATAGGAGTCTCCCAGCTTTGTAAAAGTCTCTCCCAGGAAAGGGGAGATCTTGTGATGAGACCCTGACTCTGACAGAATTTTGAGGTAATCTACTTTTTTCTTATGACAAGGACTCCAAACAGATTTCTAAATTCAAAAAACAGGCTTAATAGTAAGTAAATATGAACAAGTATGTTTTTAAAACAGATAAAAAAAATTAGTTGGACAAGACAGAACAGAAGTTGTCTGAGCTAGAGCTCTTACCCTGCCAGCTTTGTTTTTGCAGGCAAGGTTCTTCCCTTGGTTTCAGTTCACAGCTTTCTGGGTTGCTACAAATTGTGCAGCGCTTGATTTGGTCTTTTCCTCTCTTTCTCTTCACCATTTCAGAGGCCTGACCAAGTGTCTGTTCTCAACTGTTCTTAGG